TTGAAAATTTGTCGAGAACCCGTATACTTAATTTAGCTTCAATTCGACGGATTTTACTATCTTACTGTTTCGAGTAGAAGAGTACTATTGTTATATTATAGAATATTAATTTAACGCTGATCACGGGTACAATCGTGCTCGACAGGCCATATCCGACCAAGTTCAACGAGCGAAAAGTGCAAGGAAGAACCGCGGTAGGTTCCATCGTCGAGATAACGGTCATGTTCTCGTTAACGTCGGCATGAGCGTAGTTAGATCGCCCCAGGGTGATATCGAATACACGAATCCACCGTAGGGTGTTCGGTGTTCGCCAACGGATCCCGCGTCTGGTTAGGCAGGAACTTTCGGTTGGATAAACCCGACGGTGTAGTGTTTGATTGGTCTTTCGGTCGCCGAAAGTGGCGGGTAAATTGTATCCATCCGCGGCGCGTTGCGGGCGATATCATTTGAAATTTCCAGAGATAGTAACATGGCCTGGGCGCGTTTAATTCGGACGTTCAAGGGTAAGAGGATGGTGGCGTGCACCGCGTGTAAATGGAAATCGCGACCGAACATGGAATACAGGCGTCCGCGAATGGACAAGCGACTGAGTGTCATAGCGCAATTGCAGGAACAACAACATCAACGCCGTTCAGAAACTGCGATATCGGGCGTTCCGTTAAAGTTAAACACATGTATACTCATTGTCAGTCACGCAAAGAGAATTCAAGAAAGAACATTTAGAAATAGATGGAGGACTTCCTACGATTATTTTAGATAACAGAAGAAGGTGAAAATTCACCTTCCCAAGTTCTGATGTTTCGTTAAAAACAGCAAGTGTCCCGAGACTCTCGCGTGCCTTTTTCCGTTTTCCATTATCGAGTCGAGCGTATATCAAAGGAACCCGCGCTCGTTGGAACGATACCGATACCGTAACTTCGACAATATAAACGCAGCGGTAACGAGAAGTGGAAAGAAAATGCTGGTTTTATTCACCTGTCGATAGCGACTTTCCGCTCGCGGCGATCACGGTTTATCGACCATCGATGCCAGAGCTACGGATTGCGCGTCGTCGATTAATTCCCAGCGTTGTTAATGCGCGATCGAAACGAAAATCGCGTAATACTATAATTAAATCGTCTCGAGGATCGATTTTTCGAAAGGGATATCATCGGTGGAGCACGCTTCATTATCTCCCTCGCGTACTTCGAAACGTATGAAATGGAACCGTCGTGAATTTCACCATCGGATATTCATATTGACATTTATTCTATTCGCATGCATCCGAAACGTACTAATTCGCATTCCCCATCCACGGGCAGCTCATCTAAAAGCAAATTCAGTTACCGTTCAATTTCCACAATAGCCTTGAGACTCTGGCTAACTTTATTAGAGCCAACAACTCGGAGCAACTTCCTGCTACAGGGCTGATCGATGCAACGAATCGGGACGCGTCTGCCCCGGCTTATATGGTAGAAAACGGCTGGCGGATTTATAATGAAGAAACTTCAATACATCAAACTTTGACGAGTATTCACTATTTTCCTGTACCTAAGGTTACGCAAAAATCGAACACCGCGAAGAATACTAACCCGATCGAATTCCGACGAGAACAATCGAATTCTTTCTACATTATCTGAATAATTATGGTGATAAATTAATGAAAATTACTGCTGATCGAAGCAAACCACCTACGAGCAGGTTACTCAGTTTCAGTTTCAACGGATAGTTTATTGAGCACATTACTCTTGGAATTGATTGTTATACCTATTGCTCGAGGTGCTTAATCGAGCCTTTCCGTTTGTTTCTACGACTCGCATCTGCTATATTTGCTATACTCTATGTGTACTTGGAACCAACAAGTGCTGTTCGTTGATGCGTTAAAAGTAAATACGTAGCACGAGCTGTGTCAGCAGTTTCATAGCCTACCCGCTACTGACACCGAAATTTATGATATATTTTACGCATTTCCTCAGCCTTTCACCGTATTTCCTCTTATCTACCTCCTTACGTGTAACGCGACGCCTCGTGACTTAGGTGATATAAAGGGATTCTCGTTCAACGAATGCAAAGGCATTCGGTACGGCGCGGCGCGGTGTGGCAGAGTATCATAAAACTTCCTATACCTCTTCAAAGTATCGCGAAACTCATTCGAGTTTATGGAACGCATTCTCCGGATGGTATACCCGCGAGAAATCGCGAGTGCGCGGATATTTCTCTGACAAAATTCAACGAATCGTTCACGCTATCTCGAACTCGCTAGCGCCCCAACTCTCGACAACAATTTTCTACGATCGCGTCAGCATTATGCACGGCCAAACTCTGGGTATAAGTAGATAATCTAAAGAGATTGTCATATATTTAATCAATATTTACTCTGATTTAGTGATCAATTGATGATCAAAATTAAACATCCTATAAAGTATTATATTTACTCTAAATTAAACGGAATAATTTGATAGATAAATGTCCATCGATTCGCAGTCATTGAGCTCAACAGAATAAATTCCCTCTTTCTTGAACCCCAATAAACTTTCATCTTAATAAGCTTTCCTCTTAACATAAAACGGCAATCCTTAGAAATATTAAAAATTTCTTCAATAGTACCTTAAAAATCTGCATCGCAGCTACGTGATCGCCGCCACCGCCGCTATGGCACCATACTGAACGGCTCGCTCAAGATCTGGAGTTGCTGCGACGTGGTAGGACAGTCTCGAGCGCAAAGGGTTAACCGACAAATCCGTGCGTGCATCGTTCTCCCCCGCGCTCTCGTCTATTCCAACAGGATGCTGTAAAACACGTTTAATTGCGAGGCCTTTAGGCAGGTGAGCATCTAGGTCAGAGTGTAAAGTTTAAGGGTTACTACTGAAATTTGCATATCGCCGAGGCCGGGGGCATGGAATCTTCATGTTCCCGAGGAAGCTGTATGCACATCGGATATAACTCGCCTGTGCATGCGAGCACGCGCGCGCGCGCGCGTGTACAATACGACGTAGACACGTGTGCATATGCCTTCGTTTCTACAAATACGGAATTATAAACGTACCACCCACCCGAGATACGGCAGTGCCACTCAGAATCGTAATTCTCTGGCTAAAATGCCCTCGTAATAAAAGAACGACGTTATTTATTTAATGTCTTTCGGCTTGGGGCATTCTATACACCTAGATATATCTTTTACTGTTTGCGCATGGCTTCATCGGTAAGAAAATATCCGAGAATAAACGTCGAATCGAATAACAAATAGAGGGATGGTCTTTACGATCATTTCTACCTTGGTTTAGCTAGCTAGGAAGGATACAATCATAGTTGAACCTTTGGCGTAATGAACATTTGTTTATATATTGTATATTATTTGGCTGCTGTAACACTTATTCACGTTGAATTTTATATCTCCAAAGTACTAAAGCTTTAAACTAGCCACGGACGTATCTACTTTAACACAATATGACTTAATCCTACAATCGGTATAATGTTAAAAAATAATAATGAACACGATGATATTCGATAAAAAAAATACGTAAACATTGTATGCCTTTTACATTTTAATTAAAAAAGAAATGCTTTAATAAATTTTATGAAATATCAAAGGTGTTATCTACCGCGAATCTTTAAAATTGAATGAAAGTGTTAATTCTAGTCGTTTAGAATTAGCAAAAACAGCAACTTTTTCGACGAAAAGAAATTTTTGAAGAGAGAAAAATGTTTACCTATGGTACATTAACACAAGTCGTAATAACATATGGCAACGTTCAGCAAAGTCACACAGGACGTCATCTGTTCGCTGAGCTGGGAAACTCTTCCTTACACGATACATTCTAATCGCTACAACGCCACCTAGCGGATTCTAGTTCAAGTCGAAAGGAGATAGTAATCTTCAAAATTGTTATATATTTTATGCAAAATACAAGCTAAATAAACTTCTTTACGTCTGTCTCCTTTCGAAACGAACATGAAAAGTGACGGAAGTGAAGCAACTAGTCGCCACCAGATGGCGAACCAACATGGCTTCCAAGTGAACGGAAGTACGGTGCTGCCATCGTGAAATCTTTTTAGGTTGGATTTCGGTGGCCAACACGTTGTGCATACGGTGGGTGTCTAATATTATTAAAAACTTGTACATTTAAACTGTTTTTTCAACGTTAATGTTTTCAAAGCATACTGTTCGTTGATTTGAAAAATCATTACTTTTCTTTACTTATGTTATTGTATAATCGAACGATTAAACAAAAGGGTTGCAAAAACAATTGCAAAACGATACGTTGCTAGAATACACATTAATAAACGAAATGTCGATTGTAAAATTTTCTAGTTATTTCTGCATACTTTCTAAAATCTAATTACAAACAAGAAAAATCTGAGGAAATTAACGCGGAAAATTCAGTTTCTTATAATCTAACGATATTCTTTAACATTATGGTGACACATTGAATGTACGAACGGTGGTGTTTTTTGTATCGTAAATTAGATAAGCCACGATGCAGATATTCGTGAAAACCCTGACGGGCAAAACCATTACCCTCGAGGTAGAAGCGTCTGACACTATTGAAAATGTCAAAGCGAAGATCCAAGACAAGGAAGGAATTCCGCCAGATCAACAACGTCTCATTTTCGCAGGAAAACAATTAGAGGATGGACGTACACTCTCTGATTATAACATTCAGAAAGGTACTGCAGTGTTTTATTCAAAATATACCTATTGAATATCAAACATCTAAAGGATATATCTGTTACAGAATCTACCTTGCATCTTGTTCTTCGGCTTCGCGGAGGTGTTATCGAGCCTACCCTTCGTATTCTTGCACAGAAGTACAATTGTGATAAAATGATTTGCAGAAAGTGCTATGCCCGCCTTCATCCGCGTGCAACAAATTGTCGTAAGAAGAAATGTGGTCATACAAACAACATTCGCCCAAAAAAGAAGTTGAAGTAGATTTTACACCCCACTTCTACTTGCATACTTTGTAAGTTTATGTACCTTTGAAAAATGACTTTAATAAAGTACACATAAGAAAATAGACCTGTATAATGTTTTGTTTATTTTATTGTACGAAATATATAATAATATATATACAAATTTTTCTTATTCTTTTAAGTAACTACTGCTGTTGTTGCTGCTTGCTTTGTATAATTTTCATATAAATTAATATCACTTGAATTTGGCAGGGACCCACCAACCTAAATCGTGTACGAATAACTTTAATATATTGTAAGAAAAAGAATTATTAAATTACATATTTAAAACCGATACTCACGTACGCTCTTTTAACATACTGTTGATATATACTTATACTATGTTCCGTTACTACCGGTAATTTAATCACGGGAGTTACAGTTTCAGGAAATGATGACTCTTGAATCAATTTCGAACGAAGTGTCTTATAATCTAAATACGTCGCATTACGTCCAATTAAGACGAATCTATAATAGAATAATTTATACTGAAATATTCGATATACATAGTACACGTATTGAATTTCAGTTACTCTTACTTTTTATATAATACTACATCATTTCTTTTAGGATATTCAGGTTGAGTTCCATACACTTCCTTCATAGATGGAAATAATGACTCGAAAGATGTAAATTCTAAACTTTCTTTCGAAGTTATTAGCTGAGACTCGTTAGTATGTTGATGGCTCTCATCTTCATCTGAACTCAAATCGTCGCTCGAACTACGGAACAATTGATAAATTTAATGTTTAGATTATTGTAAGAATTTGAATTTAAAGATAATCTCACCTTGCACTCGAGGTCGTACTACTTGTGCTACTTTGTCCCGTCATAGAAGGATTCTTCATATTCAAATTTTTATTACCTGTTTGTTCCCTTCTTTTACCTGGTCGAACTCGTACCGCGAAAGGACTAAAACTCGTTGTACAATTCGGCATAAAATCTCTGACCGAATGACTTATTTTATACGCGTAAACTTCAGAAAGTAAAGACAATTCGTATGGTCTATGAAGAGTAATACATGAATACAAGCTTAACATTTTATATCTGCATAGTAAGATTTTCAATTACCGATGATAATCGTAATAAACATCGATCATTTCTTCTGTTGAATTTTGTACTTGTATTATTTCCGTGCAAGCTTTTGTTACTTCATTCAACGCATAAGGAAGACACTTTAACACATTAGTATCCCACCATTGTGTTAAGAGCTTTGTTCTGTGAGAATATTGACAAGCTGGTTTATGATGAAGGTAGTAATCTGTTAAAAGTTCCCAAATTGGCGGTTTCCCTTCCTCAGGAATAAATAAACCTTTGGGAGAAATTTTGTTTACAGAAGTTGTACTTGCAGGATTTATTTGTGTTGTAATATTGATGTATTCAGTTGATTACCTAAGAATAAATTAATAGTATGCTGTTTTTCTTGATCACTGAAAGTGTTACTGTAATATCTACTGAGGGTCTGCATTATGTCATTACCCTGACTGGTCCACGGTGCAGTCTTCCTAAATGATAATGGGACATTTTGTCATGCTTTGTCAAGTACTTTTAATCCTATATGAACTTACCTGTAAGTTTTTATTCTGTGCACCAATTGGGAACCACCATATTGTAATGCTAATGTGTCACCATGATCCTCATAAAGCTCCTCTAACATTCTCACACAATCAGAGTCAAATTCTAATTTAGGAGATTCTAGAACACCTAAAGCACATAACTGAAAACCCAATGCACATTTTCCTATTGCAAATTGTGCTGTATTTGTACGATCCAAGCAATCCACGCAATTCGTCCTAATAATTCCAGTTTGTAATGTGCCTTTTGTACTAAAACACTGCCTTACTGTATTTTCTATCTGATTTGTTTCATCAAAATTATTTTCTATGATAGATTGCGAACCAGCATTGCAATTCATAAATAAATTATTGCTACTTTCAACTGTCAAATTTATCGAACTTTGATCGTTATAAGAATCGAGCGATAAAGCTGTGTTTGAGTTCGTTTTGTTAAGTTTTCTAGCATTATTAGATTGGAAAGAAAATAGATTTCTCTGACTGTAATATGGGTTTTGCGATTGAAAAATACCGGTTTTTAATACTGCATTATACGCTATATTTGCTAAACGTGCCATAACATTGACTTTTTTTCTAAAAAAATAAATTGCTCTATCAATATTTGTTTCTTTGTTTAACAATTCCTATGCGTCGTATTACAGACTAATTCTAATTATACCTTTTATTCATTCGAGCCATATCAAAACTTATGTACTGAATATGGTGCTCCGGTGGCAAAAATTGATTTAAATATTTCACAGCCATACATAATTCTTCGCTCAGCGTGCTTTCATGTTTCTTTTTCTCCCGTTTTTTGACCAGATTAAGTATTATAATGGGAGAACCATACCTCTTTAGCAATTGATTGAAGTGTGCCCCTGAGTTTTTTTTTTAATGACAATCAAATAAATATCGTACAATTGATACGAAAATGATTTCAATACCTTGCAATATTCCTACCTGCTGTTTCTACGTATGGATCTGCTAAATCGCAAGCTATAGTAGGTTTAGGTACCATTTTACTAACATATTGGCTCCAGTGACCAGGAACTGATCCACGCATTTGAACAAACGAACTAAAGCGACCCTTATTTAAACAACTTACACCAGAGTCGTGAACAATTTGTTCCGTTTCTACTTCATTGGCAACATCACCCTTAATAGTTATGATCATTATTTAATGTCGAAGAATCATCGCAGTTAAATGCAAAATACTTACATCAAAATTCGCCCCTCGTTTTAAAAATCTGGTGCCCGCGTATTTATTGCTCCGCCTGGCAATAATAGTTACGTACATGGATCTTCCAAAAATACTAACATTTGATTGACCAATAAATCCGTGTGTGACATATAATATCCAGTCACGATGTAAATCTTTTTCTGCTGGTTTCAAAAGATGAGAGTTCCATACAAATCGACGATTTGGATTACTTCGTACACCATAATCGATATATTTCTCTGTACTATTAAAAATAATAATACAGTCTGCAATTGCCAAATAGAAAACTCTATTTTTTGTATGTTGTAATATACCTATTGTTCTGATGGTTCTTTCTAAATGCCCACATATTAAAAAAGTCTCCTGCGTCCTCGGTATCGTCATTTCCTGTGCGACTCGAAACATTGCCGAAAGTATTAGGTACATTCGATTTAATATGCTTCGGTGGAGTCATATTATTTTGCAGGGTATGTGTTAAGTCGTATGAATAACTAAAGTAGAAATTACTGCTAAGATCGATACTTTGAAACATTTTCACGTATCTTTGTTCGTCGGGGTGAAAGACACGCACGGTGTCATTTGGTATATAAATCATCGAAGTATCTTCTACTTTATATATAGTATGATGTCCGATTACAGCCACCCTACATCGTTTTGTGACGAGAATTATATAGTATCCCTCCAGAAAACGTACAAAACCTATCATAAGACGATGTATTATCAAATCAGAATGAAGAATCTACTAAAATCAGATAAACCTACACAATTATTATGTATCATATTAGAACCACATAAAACTTGCATTAAGTATTTTCATATACACTTAATGCATTGTGCACATAACATGCTTAATTCCATATTTGCAATTAAAATGGCATGCAAATATAATTTAACGTTGCACCATACTAAAAACATACGCATACTGTAATATCTTACACATGGCATATGTATGTATATTCAGAGAATACTTGATATAAAAATGTGTTGTATGTAAACCTAGCACGATTATATGAATATTAAATTCTTAATTTATTAATTTCCTACAGAGATGTCACATCGAATGACTAGTAGCATATTAAAGCCGTGCTTTTATTACACTATCATCCCATTATACCATTTCCACTGATATTTCAGTTGCCTACAGTTGTAGTTTTTTACTATGCTTATTTTTACTGTCTTTCATGTCTCTCTGTGCGTATTAAACGCATCATTTTTAGAAAAAAGATAACCGTTTTGACTCCTTATAGAGCATCACAACGTTATGAGACATAACAAGGTTGACTCCAAATATTAAGCTCAGTAGCCCTTACCAAGAAGACCGAAAGCTGATACTAGTCGGGGAAAACTGTCCCTCTGCCACATTGTTTTCCAGGTGAATTTAGTTTGAGTCGGTTTGTGCAGCGGCTTTTGAAATTCTTGGTGCTCAGACTCTTCTGATACACCGTTGTCAGGTGTAGATTCATTGTAATTGCTGCCTTTGTTAGCAAGCAAATATAATTAAGCTATCTTGTATAACAATTTTAGCAATAGCATTGTTTAGATACTAATAATATGCGAGTACTAGGGTATAATTAACATGCATCAAAAAAGTGAAAAGCATGCGAAATGGTGAGGTTTAACATAAGCTAACACCTCCATTAATACAATATATCTATATACTACAAAAAATAATAGATTTATATGTATACAGATTCTGTACTGTTTGAATTTTGCGTGTAATGATGTAATAGTTAATAATTATTATAAAATGTGACAATTGCGTACATAATAGAAGCATGTACATGCACCGATAGTTTGTGCCGTATGTAAAATTAAGAAAGTCAAACTAACTTACCAACAATACCAAAAGCTGAAATAACTCTCGAAATCCCGCCAATGTTACTTCGTTGTCCAGCACGCGTAAGATTACCCATGTCTATCATGTATACGAGATCCTTTATCTCGTCTTTGGTGTACTCCCTTTTATCATCCACGACGATTAATTCCTTTGGCTCGGTACGATCGATTTTTAATACACGAAAACGAGTTAAGGCGTTGTTCGATCCCATCAAATAAAATCTCTGCAAATTGTACATTGTTCTTAATTTCTCACTTGTATTTAAATTATGTATCGTGAAAATAACCTTACCGATTTCGTTTCATAAAGAGCGATTTTTTGTATCGATGAAATAATAGGATGGAATACAACAATTGGCGATGAATTGTCCATTGTAAAGTATTTATTAAACAATTCTTCGACTTTTTCTTGTAACTAATTTTTAGGCTAGAACATGACATTTGGAGCTGACATGTAGTAAACAAACGTATGTCAGAATTTGCATGGTGGCGCTTTCTAGCGGTACAAATTGGAACTATTTCTAGTTCTTTTAATCATCTATGGATGGCGCGTCGACAACTAAACCGGGAGATATTTTCAAATATGAAATACGAAAAATTATGGTACTGCAACAGACTGTCTACATGAAATTAAAAATGTTTTAATGATAATAAACTCTTCCCACGCAACTATCACTATCAAGAAAAACATCGTTATAAGATTAGATACACTGTAAATAAAATTTTACATTTTATAAATTAATAAGAAACAAACACAATTCCACCACTACCCCAAGTTCATTTCCTACCCTTCAACCTAGACAAATGTTCCCTATCGAAAATATTGATCCTTTTATCAAGGATCATTCAAAATTAGATCAAAATTGTTTGCGCATCACGTCCCGAACTCACTGCCATGATTTACCAGCAATAAGGACCCCGTATCGCATCACGAAATCTCCAAACAAACTCCCTGGCGTGTGGGGACATTACATATTTAAACCCTGAAACGTCCGACGGAAATATTTGACCCCTCCTTATCCGCTGATCAGTGACAACCATGAATCCTCGACTTTGAGCAGTTATTTATCAGTGGCCCTTCGCTCTACAATCTCCAGTTGAAAAGATGGTGCTTATCGGTGATATGCATTCGGTTTTCGTCGCATCGCGAATACTAGGCTCATCGAATCACGTAATCGTCGAGGACAACATCAAAAAAAGAAAACCTTTGGACGTGGTCCACGTCGTGTTATCGATGGTCATCTATATCTCCAGCATGGTGATATTGCACACATACGTGTTCACCTACGCCAGCTTAGACGTCAAAGGTGCGTTCCTCAGCTACGGAAGGGTGGCACTCTTCTACTCTTGCTTCTTCACCGACGCCACTTTAACAGTACGCTGGAACTGGAAGTTGCGCTCTTTTTTGTCCCAACTGCGCAACTTTGATCGAGCCACGAAATTTGACAATTCCTCCAAACGCGTCAAGGTGCGAAACATCTGTCGCGTTACGGTGTTCTTCACCTGGACGTACTGGGCTGTGGTGGGATACTTGAGTTACAGGTAAGGGTTGCAAGGGTAATCGGAATTTCTTACAAGTCATGATTTTTCAATGAGATTTATTTATTCAGAGTTTATTAACAGGTGGAACCGAAAATGAGTTTTGTACTTGTACTGGTTAATCATACTTGATATGGTGCATAAGTCTAGTCTCTATTTTAGAGAAGTAGGGATGAAAGAATTTTTACAACGTCAAGACTGAGTTTCTTTGAAAGAACCCCCTCCCTCGAACTTCTCCTAAAGTTTTAATTCAGTTTCCAAGTTTTGCGACTTGATTAATCTTTCCAACGAACCATGAACCTCGGGTCCATTGTAGACAAGAACCTTGTGAAATCGCCTTGCTCGAAAGCTGACACGCTTGAACGTTTCCAAGATAAATCTTTGACTTTTCGCAGCGTGGTTTATTGAAACGATCATTGATAACGCTTTATGACATGGATTTTCAAAAACGCTCACCTTGAAAACAAATTGTCTCACAAAAATTTAAATTCGAGATCGTTTCGAATTGCCTTATTTTATCGGTATTTTCCAGGATTGAAAAAAGATTGCCAGTCATACACGGTTTGGCGTACGCGGTGATCGACGCTGCAGTGTGCATGCAAGTTCTGGTGTTCGTCAGTTTGTCGTACCTCATCGAGGAACGTTTTCGTCAACTGTGCAACTTGCTCACGCTGTCTATGGGTGAGTTTGCTTTTGAAATATACACCTACACCGTAGGCCGCTTACGTGTTTACAAGTCTCGTTTACGAGCCGCTCGAGATCGTCATTGCAGCTACAATTGATCGTCTCTGTAATCTGTTTTGCTTCCCTCTGGATCGCACTCCGCGAAATCGTATTTTATTCCATTTGGTCAGCAGGTTTGCTTATTATCCTTGACGCTCCGTTTCCGTGGAGTTGCGTGTTTGCGCGTTCGCGCTGTTTGCTCAGGACGACACCATAGAACAGAGAAATAATTGAGGAAAATGCCTGCTGGTTTAAAATAAACACTCGCGAGTCTTTCATTCGCACTCCATTAATTCGGGGAAGCGGAAATGTCGAGGCGGACATTGTTGAATCCGGGGTATTTAATAATTTTCAAACTGAGATCGAATGGGAAATGTATCCCAGGAAGAAACGGAGAGCTATTGTGAAAAGAACAGGATTATTTAAAAATTTTTAAAAAAATTTTAAATAGACATATATATATAGGTAACAGGATGTTCGTCTTACATAGTAACAAATTTCAACAATTCCTCCAAAGTTTCAAGTATGCGTTACTTTCATTTTTACCTTCCAGTTCCTTTATTGATATTGTTACTACAGGATTCATTCCACTGATAACGTTTGCCTTAAATTAAAATACAGTGACATAAAAAGATTTCTTTTTTCCCCACGTGCAATCTTCTTTATTCTATCGAGATTTGGGTTTGAGAATTTCTAGGATGGTATAACCTGAAAGGGTCACCGGTGGCAGAGACACCTGACCCTTTGTCGAACGGTAAATTTCGGATCGATAAACAAACAATTCCCCGAGGGCGCTCGTTTTCTAATTACGAGGAAACTTGAGATGGATATCGACATCGACTAGTCGATGGTGTTCCGAGCGACGCTGACTAACGAGTTATTTGCTCCAAGGTTTAATCGCGCCTTTCGTGTCCCATTAACGAACGATCATTCTCTGGTCTCTCTAGCTAAAGGCGAACCGATGGTGCCCGATCGATTGGATCGACGTTTCACGATGCAACAGATATGGTGGCTGCACTGCACCCTGGTAAACGCAACAGAGACCCTGAATTCCGTGTACGGGGTTCAATTGCTGCTTTGGATCTCCAGCATGTCGCTGAACGCAATGTCAAGGATTTACACACTGAACATGTACACGCTGACGGAATTTGGAAAATGCCGAGAATCGCTGCTCGCGATCATATGCTGGTGGAATCTATTGATGATCACGGGCGTCTGTCACGTAACGGCGCAACAGGTAGTCGTGAAAGGAGATTAAATTTTCTTTAGTGATTCTAGGCAACACCTGCCTACTATTAACATGAATACACTATATTAATGTAGTATACTCTGTTTTAATTAGAGAAGGGGGGAAAGGAACACTTTACCTGTCTCGACGAGTATAAGTTTTGATTGGTCCGGAAAGCCCGATAGCAATTACGAAAGATACAAGTTTGGTATTTGTTTAGGCCAACCGCATCGGGGAGATCATCTTCGCGCCGTCCTTTTCTGCTTCTACGAGGCACAAATTCCTTCGGGTGAGAGATCGCATGTTTAATTTCTGTTTTTCGCTATCAATTTAATGATCAACACCCCAAATGATTTGAATTTTTGCAATTGGAATTGAATTTCTAAAAAAAAACAGAAATTACCTCGATTCAATCACTTCCTTTATTAAACAAAAATTATAAAGAAATCGTAATTTTTGGCCTAAATATTCAGCCATTCCCTCGCGAGGGTTGCAGTCTTGTAACGCCAAAAGGTTCTCCAACCTTGGTGTAGTCATAATTGCTTTAAATTAATTGCATCCACTCTATTCTCCCCGTTTGCGTTTATACGTACCGTGCCCTTAATGAACTGATAACTCTTCTCGTTAGCCCATACCCCGTGCCAACAGCCCCTGGTTTCGTCCATCGATTTCAGCGTCGTGTGTAATTATAGGAAAACCTGGAAGCAGCGGCGTACTTTCAACAGCGGAAAGTGCATTTCTATACCGTGGCGGGCTTTGTACGCGTGGATCTCCCACTTCTGCTCTCGGTAAGGTGTCCTGGGGCGATGAATCGCTCCCGAAATTTTTTAATCGAGATACAATTATTCTTGGCATCTGCGAGTTGGAAAAATCGAGTTAAGAACACAGATGATCGATGCAAACTTATTGGATTCTCCTAAATAAAAAGGATCAAGAAACGCACGCATCCGCCCATGACACTTAAGGGTTAATACCTACCCTCAACTGGCGCTTTCCGTTAATTCCCGTGGATGCTTTGCAGATCGTGTCGAGCATGACGACGTACTTGGTGATACTTTGCTGAAGAACGGAGGATCACGTATCTCCCGGGATCATCGTCGGCGTCGATCGTTCAACGGGACGAGAGCTGCTTGGAGTGTAATCAGTTCCGCGGATCAGGTTTCCAATCGACTCGACCCGCAAGGGAAAATGGAAAAGGCGAGATCCTGACAACTCGTTGATCCTTGGCGCGGTCGATTGATCTTTGACGTCGAACGACATTCCGAGATATCAATGGAAACGACCATAATAGATACACGTGAAATTCCTTTCTCGCGCCTCGTCTCGGTTAGTTTAGTGAATATTTCACGCACAGTTGGACGCCACGCACCGTATACCTAGTGTTCCACCCTAACTCGTACGAAATATCTCCGTCAAAGTAGAAGATTGATCGTTTCCATAAAATACACGTGAAATATATCGTGTATGCGACGAGCTCCGAATCCTTTATGTAACGTGTAAATATTTATTCGACCCGTTTACGCTGTTAAAATAAACCTCCACTCGTATGCAAATTTATACATCACACACGAACGAACAGTTATTCGTTATTTCGTTATCGTTACAAGATTATGTCCCCCAACGGTCCACGATGGAGCTCAGCGGTTTCCATCCGGGTTTCCCATCAGCCAACACCCTAGAGCAACCCTTTTTTCAGAAATTCTAGCTTCTCGATCGATGGAGGAAAGATATTGGAGCAGGTGTAGTTGATTTGAATAATGGAATTGAAATGCAACGAATTTTAGAGTGACACGTTGTATTATACATTTGTCGCTTTAATTTGTTAGTGATTAAAAAACTTGAGTGTGTTCAGAAGTAATATTTGTAAAACACACAACTGAAGTTTCTGTATTTATCCTTTTTGCGAAGGTATAAGAAGAGAATACTACACCCCTTGCATTCCCTACAGCCTCCGCTCCCTCGTCGTGACGTTCAATTAATTTCACAACTTTGGACTAGTATTTTGTCTTTTCTTCCACCACTAATCCATTTTTTCTCTCATTTTTCTCTAAATGTCCTACATCTCGGGGACCGCATACGTACCACAGGTTGAGAATTGCTGACATAACTGATGGTGCTCGACCCTTCCTTTTCTCCGTGGTAGATAAAGGCGGAAGAACAACATAAGATGTCCGAAACGAGCAATTTGTAATACGCCACGAATCGCGGCGCCGTATCATCTCTGGATTTTCGGCAAATTAAGTTTGCCACTTACGGAAACGAGGTATGATTGGATCCAGAAAGTTGTGTAAACAAGCAGGGAGGGTGGATGATACACACCACCAATTTATATTAACGCATTCAGTGTCCATATAGGGGAGTTGCGCACGACTTTCGATATTTTGTCTTGTGTGATTACTGTTCGGTAATTATCTACGAGGAATCGAACCGAGATAGTTTCGTAAACAAGTAGGGAAGACCAATAACACGGGGAGATGACCAAGTCCGCTTCAGAGGTTACTGTTTGCTAGTAATTTATTGAAAACTGTAGCTTTATCTCCAACAATAAGATACCCTTCATGTCATCTTATTAAGAATAATTTCTGAAGATAGTGTAGACGTAGCACAACGAAAAATATCTATCGGTTATTTATTTTACATATTCATCGCTAAATTATGCTTACAACCGGAAGTAGCGATGAAATCGAGGAGTAACGACGTGTCTGACCATTGTTCTATATTTCCACTTGCACTTTTGTTTTATCGGTTTTTTTAGACTTTCCCATCCATCGTTATTTATCTCCTAAATGCATTACGTTGTATAGATAGGATTGATCCAGATTAAATGACACACACTGATACTCTGTCGGGCAAGATCGATGGATCACAGAGAGCTGCATTGCACAGGGATATTCGTGGTATCGAACGGATCGGACCCACCGACTATAAATAAAAGTAGCAATGATTCGAACTGTCAAAGAAAATTTCTACAAATAGAATTTTTTTCCGATACTTTTACTTTATAATGCCGAGATAAAAATTGGAAACGTATTCCTTTGATTTGTAACCATTTTTCTTTTATTAGTTCCGGTTTCTTTATATTGTAAATCCTGTGTCGTTAACCCTCATAATTCTGCTCTAATCTTATCTATTCCTACGTATCTAATCTTAACACTTAATCATGTCCGTCCGCTTTCACCTCTTTACTTAGTCATCAATGAAACCATTCGAGTACTTTGGTATCTGTTGGAAACAAGTCAAACCATCTCTATCTTACTTACGCTAGACAAAAAAAAAAAAAAACACTTTAAAATAGCCAGAAAAATTCATTATTAGCAATATCACATAATTTATATTTTCCCCATTCGATCGCAGGTGTGGAAAAACGTTTACATTTCAACGCGTTTCTATTGTAATACATTGCTGGGATCGTCGAGAAGACCTTCTTCGAACGCGAGATATACATATATCTCAGAGGATATTTCTGCTCGGCCGCGTCCGGGACGCGTTGTCTGTTTATTGTCTTTTCGGTTGGACTGCGGTTCCCTTCGAACGTGGGAATAAAGTGGCGAGCCGAGGAAGATTTCGCGACGGCGTTTAACGTTTCGCGATAACGTCTGTCGATGATGACGAGGGAACAATTCGGATCGACGCTTTTCGAGGAATCGTAGGTGACGGCGTAACGCAGGATACGGGAAATCAAGTGGAGACAGAGAACGCAGGCGCTCTCGTAGGTACGCGCACGATGCTTTCAAGAGCTCCGGCGGGAGCTGTGATTTTCTTCCTTTCAGTTTATCGTGGACCCGCTCCCGAAACTTTTCGCGTGCATTGTCATTCACGGGAAGCGATCGAGTTCGTTTGTGTCGGCGCGGTGAACCAAGAAGTGTCTGTCTATTGCTCGTTCATTCTACTTACTTCCTTGTTTCGACGTCGGCGTCGGTAACGTGTTATCACGGTGGTGTTAAAGACTTGTCTCTCTTGTATACTAAGAAAAATACCTCGTTCAATGATCGGGATAGTATATATAATAATAAATCTTTGTTGTGTCAAGAGTGATGCTTCGTAAAGTTCAGGATCGAGTGAGTAAAATTGAAACTATTGAATAAAAATAAAAATATAAATACGCAGATTTTGAACGATCAACAAATTCTCTTAGGCTGTGGAACGGTGTATCTATGTATACCATATTTCTGAGGTTTTTCGAGAAAATTTTGTTGAAATAACGAAGGTGTAGGATATTCCTTATAGCGTGTCAGATTTCTCAAACGCGACCCTTTTTTCTACTTTTCCAGAGATCTATCTTATCTTACAAGTAGAAAGAATAGTGTCGATATCAAAATATCTATGCATCGAAAAGCTTCAATTTTCATGTTATTCGATGTAATTGACTTACATGTTTGACATTTTATTCGAACAAGGAGTGTACGATGGAATTTCCGCGACGGGTTCCATGGAAACAGTTGTAACGAAACTTTCATAATAAAACTTTCCGTATTATAAGTTCCAACGAGAACAAATAAATTATAATTCTTGAATGGTAGTTCGAGTAGAATGGACGAAAAATAAACTAAAAGTTGTGCAAGAGGTTCTCTTCGTCAAAGAAAAAACTTTGGAAGTCTCGATTGAAAGTCGTGGTTTCTTGGCTTAACAAAATAATTATAAAACTCTTACGTGCATTCTGTTATATTTATGGAATTTTATTTATCTTGTACAACTTTTTCCAATAAAAGTTCTGGAATAACCGTTTCCATGGAGTTTTTATCGTGAGAGGTTCACAATATCCATAAGAGTTTCTTGAATAGGTTTCAATTAGTATAACTTTAAATGGGATTGAAGGAAACCATTTTAGGGATAGTTACATTTTACCTCTAACGCAATTTCAGGATGATACAGAAAGGAATTTCCCATTTCACCAAGAGCAACATTACTTTTTCGCGTGAATTGTTTGTTTCGCGGTGTTCTGTGTAACGTATCCACCGTGTAAAAAGGGTATCGAGTGTAATTGAGTCGACTACGAAACGAGCGTGCCGTGCGTTGGCGTTCACGCGACGAGTCCTGCCACTAACAGCTCCGGTTCTATAGGTATAAACGAGGTCGTATCAGGTTAAAAAATGACAAACGGTTTTGCGCACTCATTCCCTTTCGATAATGAAAATTTCCCTCGATCGATGGTTCGCACGCGTTTATCCGGCTCTACGAGCGATTGGTGACATCGCGAGCTCAATTAATTAATAAACGATTGAAATTTCACCGTGACTGATTATAAAGCGAAAATTCCCATTATCGGGAAGCCATTGAAGTCATTCAATTCGCTCAGGACCTCCGAGCCTCTCCATTTTTCGAACGATAACCATTAGCGAACGTAGAAGTTGCGTAGCGCTACTTTGAAAATATCAATGTTCCGCGTTTAATTTTCACGCGATCAGCAATTACCCGTGTTGTCATGCGTTAAGGATTTCACAGCAATTTTATACAGTGAAATAATCTAACGTAGCTATAACATTCGCATTGTATCCACGTATTTTTAGAGGCTGGGTGCAATTTCTATGCCAATTATCGATAGCCTCGTTAGAAGTCTCGAGTTTTGCTTCCTGGCTCTAGAAGGCTTCGGGCTGGTCGGTCCCTTCGTTAATGCTGGACTTAAGAAACCCGAACGTCTGTCAGCGAGGAATCGAAGAATCGAGCGAGCGATCGAACTGAATAATGAAATAACGAGGGACGAGAGGGGACTCGTTCCGACCCCCACTAAAATAAGTTCAGTTGTCGATCGCGCGTATGAGGAGCACGATACCCTGTGTATCCGGATAATCGAGTTTATTCCAACGAAATAACAGAATCGCTCGTGGCGAAGGCGTTCCTTCGATGATCGAACGAAAGCTCGGTTAAACGATACCTTGGAGCAACGTTTCCCAAACCAATTGATAATTCAAGACAGTCAAACGAATGTTGAGTGTCTGATCGTTTTAGGTGTATTAGGCTTTTTAACATTATCGTCTGGCAGGTACATAGTAACTGTAAACCAAGAAATTAGTCTCGCTCATTCTCAAAACCAAATCGCCACAAAGGCATGTAAGTGTATTGTAAACACGTAGGGAGACGAGTAGTGTTCCTCCTAACGATGAGTTAAGGAGTTTGGAAAACGTTTGCTTGGAGTAACAATAGCACGATTGATCGCGGCTAACTTGTCTGTTGACGCAAGACGTAACCAAGAGGCAGCGTTCTTCATGCTGCTCGATCCCAGGAGCCGTTCCCACCACGGATCGACACCCCTGGAATCGTTCGGATGAGCTTCTCCATCGACGACCATGTCGACAAGCGTGTACGACGACTCGAGATCGTCATCGACGCACTCGACAGAGTTCAACGTCACCCAAAATGACACCGCGATCCCCGTCGACGAAAATTCCGAGATGAATATCATCGACATCTTGCGGCAGCAAATTTACGACAACATCCACAACGACACCGATTACTTGTTGATCGTCCTCTACGTTCTCGTCATGGCACTCGCCGTCACGGCCAACGTCCTAGTCATCGCGGTCGTTTTCAAGTACCACTACATGCGCAGGTATGTACTCGGGGTTTTATGGTCGTCTACAAAGGCGTGAGATCCTCGCCCACCTGTCTTGTTCGGGTTATATTAGGGTTGGTTAAACGATAGGGAACCCTAATATTGCGTACTTCGTGATTTCATTTTGTTAAAAATATGTGATCCTTTCCTTATTGCTAGCATTTTTCTACGACGCGACGTGGCGATCAACGTGTAAAGAAGTAGTTTACAGTCTTATATCTTTGATATCGATGATGATTCCTGGTACTGGTATACGTATATTGAATTTAGAATTATTTTAAATTAAAATAGCAAGTGCCAATGTTAATTAAATTTTGTAACGATAAGACGTCTCCAACGAGAACGCCCGGGGCCTTGTTTATAGTGGATTATTGCAACGTGTATGCAACTGGTGTTAAACGCACCATCGATGATTTTCCGCGCGATCACGTTACATTTTCCACGTGCGGGATGCGTCGACAGGCTGGCTAAAAGTACTTTGCAGCAAACAATTTAATCTTAGGATCGTTGGCGAGGCGTCTCGAAGCGGATCAAGAGAGATTTGACTAAATTAAGCGGGGATTAGTCGGTTCAAACGGTATCGAGTGTATAGGCCGTTGATTAGGGAGGCTGTCACCCCTGTCATGCATGTTGGCTTACTATCAGGATATTGCTTTCAGGAGAACAGGATCGATTTCGGTGGAGTTAATTATAACTTTGGGCGAGGCGCTTTAGAAAGCCCGTCGAATTAGCCTCACGGGATCAAGGCTGATGCAGGTGTTCCGTCTTTGAATTTGTAACCCCTAATCGACGAACGATTGCAGCACCCTCTCGGCAGGAAAGCTTCCGATCGCATCGCTACCCTCGCCAAAAAGAACAGCCCAATTTTATATCTGTTTTCAATAACAGGGAATATATCGTATAACTTATTAATGAACAAAAGATAGAAAAGTACAAGGATGTTACGATATAGCACGGTCGAATTTCGCCTACCTTTTCCTCTAACAATAAGAGACAGACCCCAACTATTTAGACAATATTCACCTATAGCCGAAGAAAACGTTGGTACACACGATGTACTTGAAAACTGACTATGTTACATGCTTGAATTTCGCAACCCTGTCCGGATCAAACAGCTTGAGTTACGAGTTTCATTTTTCATTGTTATCCAGCCTCGTTGTTGACGTTGCGTCGCGGGTCGGCGACGTTCCGTGTCATATTCAAAGCGTTTCCTCGACCCAGTTCCGATGGAAAAAACTCGGGAAGAAGACTGTCTCCGGGAAGAACTTAATTAGGATGCACGGATTATTGATGAACTGTAGACGTACAATTGCTGGTACAGACGAGACACGCGTAATAGGCGGTAATAACGCGTGGGCGCGTTGTGTGAACCCAATTACAGGGTGCCGCGTAACTGGCGCCATAATCGACCTGTCGACGATTCCACCCGAGGAAACATGACGAAAATGTCGACGTAACGTCTCCTTTTCTGAGACTCGAGTGTCACAGTTGTTACATATTATACGGAGAATATGAAGCTGATAAATAAAGTCTATAAAGTCACCTTCTAAAATATTTAGATAGTAGGTAAACTCTTTATGTAAAGAAAGAATTTCATCTCACCTTGGATGCAAAGACGAAGAATATACCTTGAACATGAATGTACCTTGGAGTTCAGATTCAGAAACGCATAGGCGTGTGCTTATTTCTCATAGCGGCGAAACGGCATGTAAATAAGCGATCTCTTTGCACCAGTGATGCATGAACAAACGCCACGCCACGTTTCACGTTTCACGTTTACTTGCGAAGCAAAAATTATTGCCCTCCCGCGCCTGCGAATGGGAATCTTGAAATTAACCAATGCCTTTTTGCATACGACTGCGGTGTTTTAGAAAGCATTCTCTATTTATATTTGTTTATAATATAAAGTAATATAAACCCTTTCATCGAGCAAATTACGGATGAAAGGTTCTTCTTTTATTCCATGTTCGAATATTTCATCTAAATGAAAATTTCATCCATTTCTAGAAGGACGAAGAAAAGACACATCTTGGATGTAGAGTGGATGACACGCCCTAGTAGCGTTTCAATTATTTAATCCTCTTTTTGCTTGAAATTAGCTGGAAATCGCGACTGTGAATCGGCGGGGTAAAAGAATACCAGTGCTGGAACGATCTCTCGTAACTTCCAAGAAACTCGTCATTTGCAAAGGACTCGACCGTCGACGTCGTAAAGGTCCCTTGTTCTTTCCATTGAATCGCAAATTGCTAGATATCGATCCTAGGATTAACAGCGAGATTGATTATATTGTACTGCGTGCTAGAAAAGTGTGAACCTGGTATCTCTGTATTTTAGTAAGGGAATTTCATGGAGTATATACACTTTATTTTTAGTTAGAAGAAAGAAGACTATACACATTGATAAATTCTATGAAATATAGACTATGTTCACGCGTCAGTCTACTTCCATCGCTAAGCCTTTCTTCTTCTAACTTTATTTTTCTTCCTTTTCAATTAATTTATATTCATGACGCAGTCCCATTTCCTTCGTTCGCTTTCCTGGGAATAATTCATTTCATTTAATTTTTGTAAGTAATATTCAACACGATGCCTCGTAATTATTTTCAGCGTTACTAATTACTTCGTGGTGAACCTGTCCGTGGCGGATCTTCTCGTGACCACGATTTGCATGCCCATGGCCGTCAGCCAAGCAGTCTCGACCGTGTGGGACCATGGAGAAGTCATGTGCAAACTAGTCTCTTACCTCCAAGGTAATTCATCGCGATGCGGTGTAAAGTAGCGATGGGAATAAGCGAATACTATCCAAATATAGTGCAAGTAAAAACAAAACTGCAACCACGTTCAAATAAAATACACGAGACATTGAAAAATGATCTATTTTTGCCAAGGTAATACTTTGCGATACCAAGCTGTTACAGACAGTGTCAGTGTGATCTAGAGTGATCATTTGTAAGAGTTTCAGCTACTGAATCTAAATTCCATCCAGAGGCATTCATCACTCTCTAGCACTCCCTAACTCCCTAATTCCTTTATCACTCCATCGTTAGCACGGTATACGGATCAGACAGCTGCTTATTAGTTATGTTTCCGTGGAGGGCAAGGCTGTTAACGCTATTTCTCCGTGGAAACGCGAGGGTCACTGAATGGAAAAGAAATATTACCGTCACGAATTGCTACGATATAACTCGCGCCTTCTAAGCAGAGAGGACGAGAGTCCTACTCCAGCTCATACATAAAAGATCTACCAGGCCGTGTGTACGTCAGCTAGTATTGGTGATCACACGCGCGCGAGCCCCGTTTCCACAGGAGAGAAGCTTTTTCGACGCGTCCTACTCCGGGGATGCAGCTTCCAACTTTCTCTTTATTAAAATTAATGGCGCCATGGGCCATTCTATACAATAATGGAAACACAGTTAAGCTTCCTTGTCAAAAATTGTGGCAGCGTAACCGAAGAATCTAACCATTAATAATTCCAGGGATCAACTGTTTGAATATTCAAATACATTTATCGTCCCTTCAAAAACGTTTACTTATTACAAGTACTGTGTACCTTTTATACACGATGAATATTCAAAATGTACGTGAAAGATGCGTATCGTTACTCTACGTAAAATAATATATATAATAGAGTATTAATATGCAGATCATATGTGATGTGCTTTAATATGCATGATGATGGCACAACATATACGTGTATGCATATTTACGTGTGAAGCATAAATTTATACAGAAGTAGGATAACGATGATGCTGCCGATTCTCCTTTTTCCGCCCTACAATTTTTTTTTCTTTTTTGATTACATCAGATATTTTGATCTTTAACCAAAATCAGCCAGAAATACAAATCCATGATTTCGAGGGGTTTGATTGTACCAGGGTTAGGTCTAGAAAATCAGGAATAGTTTGCGATGACGTATTGTTCATTTGGATAATGAACCAACGATCCGTGTATTGATTTTCTTTTTTTAATTCGACCTTCCTTCCCACATTCGATCCCGAACGCTGAATACGCTGGGTGATTTAAAAGGATGATGATAATACAGCCCCGATACCTTGATAACTTAAAACGTTCGTAGCTGTTGCCGTCGCCGCCTCGGTTTTCACCATTACCGCGATGAGCATCGATAGATACCTGGCGATAAGGAGTCCGATGGCGTTTCGACGGGTCTTCAATCGCAAGAGCACCGTCCTCGTTATCGTCGCTCTCTGGCTGATCGCTTTAATCATCTTTGCTCCAGTCCTGAAAGTGGTTGGTACCAACGTCGTTCGTTTCATCCAAATATTCACCTCCTTTGAATATTTCTATTCCGTAAAAAAAAAAAAAAAATACTCGCAAATAAATATAATTTTTCAAATAATTTATTTGAGGAAGCCCTTGTTCCCTGATGCTCGACACAAAAATGGCTCTGAAATTCCAAACTTAAATATGTAATACAATCTCCACCCCGTAAAATATTTCCCATCCGTAGTTATACACTCGCGAAAGAGATGAAAGAATGAAACAACCCTACGTAGGAGACACTTTGCCGCACGTAAATCTGGCGTGAAAGATTTGCGTTCGCGAAAGACAGATCGACGGATGATCGTTACCTAATCTTTCTCCTAGAGGACCCTCCATATCGCAAACCAGAGCGACATATTCAGGACGACGACGGGGAATTTTTCACAGAACTTCTTGCGTCTGTACCGGTTGATACCTCCTCAGTACGTTTGTGGGGAAGATTTCGAGCTTCTGGGCATCCAAGCGCGTGTTTTCGGACCTGTCTGGTTCATGTTGGTTTACGCCATTCCTGGTAAGCCGCCGTGATTAATAGTAAGCGTACCTTCGCCGTGCAATCCCTCTGCGCCATTTTCTTTATAAGAGAACCTGCAAGGAGTTGAATCGCTCAAATGCAATTTACAATATAGTAAAAAATGTAGAATGTAACTAGAATCCAGCATCGACTTCGTTTGATATAGGTAATCTTCGTTATTTACCGCCAGTTAACTTTGTTCCTGGAATTTGCATAGCTGAACACGATAGTGGATTACATTAATACGCGAGGTCCATTGTTACAATGTAAATTCGTGGTATTGAAACCTGGGGTGGCTGGAACTAATAGAAACCGTTCGTAAAGCCGCTATTATTTTTTATTCATGCTGGATTCTAACACGAGCAACGTTTACGAAAGGGATTACTTGTTTACGAAGCACGTTAGAATTTACATGTCCTTTTTTATTCTCCCACCATCTTTATCGCCCTCTCCTCCTTAACGTAATGATGACACCCACGACCTCTACATCTTTAACACCTCCTTCGCCTCCAACATCATCCCTGCTTCACTTGCTCCTCTTCACTTGCTCCCTCTGTTTGCGAAAATATTGTTTCATATTAAAATACGTTGGTGTTGCAACTGTTTTCTCCCTTTATAATCCCCGTACGTTTCATTACCCGTCTGCTACAGGTTCCGTCGTGGTATTGGCCTACTCCATGATGGGTCGCACGCTGTGCTCCAGAAGACCACCGTTTGATTGTGATAGTGTCGAAGGAAGTGCCAGTTCGCAACAGGTTAGTCGAAAGTTTGCTTCACGTTCCCGATAACGCGTAACTTTACAAACCTCAGTTTCGCTTTCCTCCAATGATAATCGAATCGAGATCACACGTGGCCTGATTGGCCTGATTACGCGATGCATAAAGAAGGGACACGACAGTTTTGACTTAACTGTACTCGGAAATTTTCTCGTTGTATATTTGAGAACCATCGATTAATAATTGAATAATAATTGTAATTCTAATATTTTCATGTTCCTTACAATAAATTTTAGATCAAGTTTAAAATATACTAAGACCACTCGTGGCTTTAATTTTTTATTATTTTATTGTTTTATAATAAATCATAGCGGAAACATTTCTATGTTTACTGAATCCCTTCTAAGTATACCAGTCTCAATTGTGCGAATAAAATATTAGTGACGCAGTGGCGGATCTCTGTCATCCTTCTCGTACTTCTAAACGTGTTTGGATAAGTGGAGGTGTAGCGTACTGTAATTTTTTCGACGTCAGCCTCGGACAGATGCACTTTGCGCCCTTACAATCAGTCGAACCATATCGAGTTTGGGATACATATCGATTCTCTAACTTTCGTTCGTTAAAGCCCATTCAGCTGCAAGTCTGATCAAGGTCTGGAAATAGCCGCGAGTTCGACTTACACTCAGACATTTCTTGTTGTTTAGTATTATACATCCACCAATGAAAGCTTGATTTTTCTCCAATAATCATCGACTATTTTAGATAAGCTTATAGAAAAGTTTATAGTTGCTCCAAGTGTGTTTGAATTCAACAAATTGCCTCAAATTAATCTCTGCAGCTTCCAGCTGACAATGAGTGGCGCGTGGGAGGCGACCCTTCCGAGTCCTATCTTAATCCGACGCTGGATAATATCCATCGGTATCCTTCCCGATCGGCGATGAAGCAGACACTCGAACTTGATCTAAATCCGTCCCCATTTACAACCGTTGTGCAACTGCATTCTGTTCGCAGAGCTTCCGGCTGGTACGCGAGAGAAGGCGAATTGCTTGGATACTGCTTCTCCTGGCTGTGCTCTTTGCTCTCTGCTGGCTACCGTACAACGTTCTAATGCTCTTGGCCGACCTGGGTACAGTCGGTGGTGAGTGCTCGTTCATTGACGAAAGTACGCTCGGGGTTGTCGCGCGCCTTTTAATCGAATTCCCTTGCACCACCTTGTTCAGCTCTGATAATAATTTAATGTACAGTGGGCCAGGAGAAACATCCGAATAATGGAGCATGTTCGAGCTCCACGAGAGGAGTTCGTCAATAAAAAATTTAAAAATTTCGAAGCTTTCGAACAGACGTAGTTCAGAGGTTGCTAATGACGTGACTTTTGCTTGTTTTGGAGATAAACTTATCCCTCGAATAAATATCAAACTCCAAACGTGTCCTACTGTTTCAATATTTACTCTCTGCACTGTACGAAGATGAGAAGTTGGCTAGCGCCAAGTAGACAGACGCGATTCTCTTTCAAGTACCCCAGCGAAAAGGCACGGGTTTACCACTGGCTGGAAACCTCCGCAAATTGAAGCCTCGAAATTGTTCGCAGCTGAAGGTAGTACGTTCTCGGATGTCCACCGCTATTTCCTCTTTCTGGGACACGCGAACAGCGCGCTGAATCCTGTGGTGTACTGCTTCATGACTCGCAATTTCCGCCGAAGCGTAGCCGAAATTCTTCGACGCGGTCCCCGCGGCCTGGCGCGTCGAAGACCACGTCGCAGAGTAAGTGTGCAGAATGTATCTCTCTGTGTGTGGCTTGTCTTGATTATCTTCCAACCGTGATTCCTTTCCTCTTGTCCCGCTTCTGTTCCATACCTTCGTGTGTGTGTGTGTGTGTATCTCTCTATCTAGACACTAATTAACAACTTGTCCCGGTTTAGAGTGCTTACAGAAATGATTTTTTATCTCTTGGATTCTTCTTCTCTTCCTTCTTTCTAATCGTGACGAATCAATATCTGATCTTAGTAGAAGTCGAAATGCACCAGCAAATCCACAACTAAAAATACACGAATTTACATGCATGGATTCCCAAACTCCCTTTTCCCCAAGCCTTTGCAAATATTCAATAGTAAATATTCAACGATCACCTTGTTACGTTACACGAAATATTCACGGGAAAGTCCAGTCGAAGCCGGAAAACCAAATACTTGTACGAACAGCCACGAACTTGCACTCGAAAAGAATGCGGAATATACGACTGTGTTTGTGTATGTACACGACTCGCGATTTTCAGTGCGCTGCGCTGGCCAGCCTGTGGTGAGTAAATATTTATTACGAGGTGTACGGAGCTTCTGGAAATTTAGCAGACGGCAATATCTTTGTTATTGAAGTCAAGAATGATTGTTAGGATACACCTAAATTTACAGTCGAAGAACATGCGGACGAATCTTTGCATCCACCCTCTACAAATGAATTGTATTCGTATATCGTTATGTGTTGTGAAAATAATACATATTTTATTCAATTTAATTATGTGTCCAAACGTTACCAATCGGTACAATGAACAAAATAACGAGAAAATATTTTCACTTAAGTTATGAATGTGAGGGCACAGAATTAATTTCCACGCCTAATATAATATTATGTAAAACGTCAAATACCTACTTGTTCTTCCATTAAGTATACATTCTCTTATCACGTCTTTGTCTTCCTATCATCTTGACACAAACCACAAAACGTCTCATCGCGACTGATAATGAAAACATGCGTTCCTTTGAGCAAATCCTGGCAGCGGAAAATTAAAACTCGGTGGCGCGCATCTCCTCTTATTTCCGACATTCAAACCCCCTAATCGTGTTCAAACCTCTCCATCGTGTTTGATATTCAGCTGCAGTGTTTCGCGTAGTACATCGAACGTTGCCGTCATCATTACAATTCTCGAAAACAGGGAGAACTGTGCTCCACGAGCTTCTCGGAATTTATATGACGCCTCCTAAGCCGCAATTCACACCGGACTGGTAGTATCGCGATTCCATTAAACCCCTAATATGAATTCCACGCGTAAGTTCGTAAAATTATAGTCATTGCGTGACAGCTCTTGCACAACCATACCGTGACGCAGATCGTCTGGAACCAAATTAGACGAGCATCCGTGCGCCATCGATAATAGCCTCCTTTCACCGTTCAGAATATAAACATTTTCGCGAGGTGCATCGTTTAACAGTTCCAGGCGACTACTATACTTTCGAGTATTTGAGGCATTCGCGACTCGGTTCTTCGTGGGTAATACTAACATCCTTATCGATCTCTTCGCCACTTTATATTCGGATCGTCCTTTCCTCCTTTTCTTGTTCCATTCGCGAAAAAAACAGAGACACCCGAGAAGATATTTGTATCCGACTTTATCCAAGGATACGAGAAGAAAATGGAAGCTGCGTAATTCATCCACCAAATATTTATTCGTAAATATCCTCCGTGGAAGCGAGGTTCACGTATAGCCCGGAGAAAACCCTGTGAGCCTTCGTATCGTGGGAGCCCGAAGACAAATTGTGATTGTAGGACTGTTTGCTCGTCGCGAGAACGACTTGTGGTTTTCGCGAAAATGACGGATGCTACGTTGTTTTCGCAAACATGAGAGAACTCCTCGTCGAGACGTATCGTTCTGACTCGGTCGTTTGCCCTTTCGGAGCAGTGATTCTTAAAAGTGATGAGCAAAGTCTATTTTCCAACGCATGGAAGTTTGTATTTTATTAATTGCTAACTAACTATTGGTAACTAGGATCAATATCACGATATCTAAAATAATTTCAAGTGTCTCTTCATTTTTCACAACCCTTTCAACACCAAACAAACACCAAACTTCATTTTCAAGGTGTGTCACGAGCTAGAGAAGATTAAGAATCGTTGTTCCTGGTCGTTACAAGAATACGAGAAAATCGCGTGAAACCTAGAAGCGGAGCAATAATTTTAATAGATGTTTGACATCCTTACACTTCCGGTTCTGGCATACTGTTTCAGAGTGTTCAAGGAACCGCCGTGATCGATGACGTGTGCGCAGGGTGCAGTACCGGTGGCGGTTCGATGAGACGAGGATTGCTACGTAAACGAAGAATGTTGCCTTCGTGCGGATGCGGGCTGCCCATAGGCGGTCACCACGCTGTTTTGGCACTGAAACGCACCACTACGTCTAGCAGCGGTTACGACAGCTTCTACAGTAGACACAGTCCTCATCGACGGTGCTACATGCTGCGTAGCCTCAGGATGAAGCCTTCGACGCTCGTTGGGCAGCCAGCAAAGGCTGGCACACAACAGGAAACTTGCTACGAGAAGAACGAACACGAAGGTAGCCAACCTCGAGGGAACACCACCGTCACCACGGACGAACAACGTTGCTCCTGAGAGTGAATCAGAAATTTCACTGAAACAATTATTATTCGAGCGAAGAAGGATCTTTATCGAAGAATTCGAGGAGTAACGCGTTGACCGTAGCGTCAGCCACAAATGAGGGACTAAATAAGGGATTAGAGGAATTAATTGTGAAGGTATGATGTTAAAAAACATAAATCTGGATTACCAAGCGTTTCGAGAAATGTTAGATCGTGTTCCAGTTCTCTTCAAACAGAGTTAGTCACGGTGTTAGTCTGGATGTCAACGTGGTAAGGAACAGATGACGTTTTTTTATTCGATGAATGGTTTATATTCTGGTTCTCGTCATTTTCTGTATTCGAAACTCATTCGAAGCCTTCTCTATTGCACACCATGTCCGCTCAGAAATTAAATATTCAATCTCGTCGTCGATCGATTATTGGACCACCCGTGCGAATCGTTGCAGTGAATGGAATGAATGACTTCTAGATGATTAATATCTATATGTATGTAAATTTATGTAACCCGTTTACAGACGATAGATGTAAACATTCTAGTTTTTCTTTATCAAAAAGGAAATGATGTATGGTATCCGAGATGAAAATAAAATCCAACAAAGGGAAAGAACGATGCACTCGACTCATTATCCAGTAATCATAATTCTGGATTGCATTTGAACCAATACAATTCCAATCCAAGTATAAATGCATCTGTGCGCTAGCTACGAACAAGTAGAATCAGCGAGTACTAGACTAGAATCTAGAGTAGAATCTTATTCAATCGCACCAAAAACTTGTATTCTACCCTATCGATTCAATTTTGCATAAGAAATCATGCTAGCCCACCTTGCATTATATCTTTTCTCCTACCTTCTGCACATATAATCTAAATAAACAAATAAACACGCAATAAATAAGATGGCGATCTAAGTAACCCAACAGAAACGTACCTGAATTAACTAAAAGAGTAATAAGAAGCCAGATGGAAACGGAACCGGAATAGATATGAACGTATATCGTTTCGTAAATATTTGCGTGCCGCAAACCTACGCTTTCGTCCCTCAGAGGTCGACGCCGACGTCGACAGCGGTATCAAGCTCGATTAAATTCGAATTGAATTGATCTCCATGAGAATGGCCGTAAAAGAAATTGCTCGTCTTGAATAGGAAACTACCTGCTCCCAAGCCGGAAATTGAACATTACAATGCTTGAAAGATTGAGGAGGATTTGGTAAAAATGACTAGTGCTAAGAATATCGTTGAATTACGTCACGCGTTATCGGTATTTTATGAAATTTAAACAAACTCACGATTTCTATTTGCAGAATATAGTATCGATTTTAAGTTGATAAGCCACGCCAAGTTCGTTGTCAATGAGATCAGTGAATAATTGAAAATCACGCTATTTGTATCCTCGAGATAGTCGAGATGACAATATCGATTAAACCGATGCGATGTCATGTGCAGCGAATAGAATTCGTTCCTGATCGTATTTTTTAAATCGACTTTCGATTCGACATTTCTATTCTCCTCGAGTATACTTAACGCTTAATATTTCCAGCTGAACCTGGATCAACTCGCTGCTGAATGATAGTAATGCTCTTCGATGATCGATAAGTGACGTAATAAAAACGGTTGGAACTAAATTGTAGGTCGAGGGGATTTTTTCTTTATAAATGGAGAAGATCCATGGAAATTTTCATATGTCGAATAAAACGTGATATATAATCAAATTCAATTGTTTACGAATATATGGACGATTTATTTTGAAATTCAGAAAAACAGTAATCCCTTCACTAATATGTATCCAAAACCAGCCAGTATATTCAACATTTTAAACCATCCTACTGTTTTCTTTTATTTCGTTCTGCAACTTAACTTGTCACAAATTTCTGCCCGTGGCTTTGCTAACGTGAATATCGGATTAAACTATTAAAAAAAAAAGAGAGAGAGAAAAAATAGAGATAACCGTGACAAAAAAATACGCTCTCTCCTCTGCCTCGCCCGGCCGATATCGATCATATTTTTTTTCACAACCTGACACACAGTTGACGATTCTCTGAGTTGAATAAATGGTTGAACACTTCACGAATTTTATCGAGATACGTTTGAGGCATTTATCGTTACAGTGAAACTTGTCGTTACTCTGATTAATATTTTTCTATCCTGGTCAAGTTGCTCGCGTGAAAATTATTCGAAAGATGGAATGTCAAAAATGATTGTTTTCTAGCTTGTACCATTTCTTAGCAAACCACTGAAGTAGAACAAACAGTCTAAGTATAACAAACAGTAACGTCTACGTTAGTCACTTTCAATGCACGTTAGGGGTTACACGATAGGGAGCAATTCGACCCGCGTCACAGAGGATGGAAAATGGAAAATACGACCGTCTTGTTTTCCAACGCGCAGAGGGTGCAACCGCTAGCGTCGCGATAGGAGGCTATCTCATCGCGACGCTTTTGATCAGGACACGTAGAGCCAGGGAATAAACGCGTCCTTTGGTAAAAATTTATTCCACGACAGGTAATACATAAGAATTAGACGTTATCACATAGCCGGGTAAAAGTATCACAAAAAAGATATATTACAAAGAATTTTACAAGCTACGTCGCGTCGTCGTCGAAGATTTTTCGCATAATCGAAAATGAAATCGTTGCGCGCGAATAAAATTTGGCTTCACGTTAACATGAATCATTCACTTGTTTCCTAGTACCAGTAACGGATCCACCATGATACTAATTAAACCAACGTATTTCCAACATATTTGTTGAGAATTTTTCCTAGTAAAAGGTTGTGTATGCACGGTTTTCCACTGTTTAGATTTTTATATTTTTAACATATCCTTCGATTTTCTAGCTTTCGAAGCAGTCCTCGCAGATAATAATAGGAGGCAGTATATATATATATATATTTTCACGAAACGTTTTAAAAGAGGATTGTCCCAAAGCAATTAACTTCTAAAGCCCCTATAAGTCTAGATCCGCCACAGGTTGTCACAGTTTCCCGTGTTCTTCGACCAACCACTACAATTATCGAACCTCTCAACAATTAATTTCAGTTTCAATGAAGTTTAACGTCGACGTAACATTCCGAGGACAAACGACGAATACATGAAGTCGGTTCAACGAAGGTTTTTTTTTTTTTTATTCGTTCTTTTCATTTTCCGTTTTCATCGATTCCTATCCTAAGGTTATAAAAAGACCGTGAGACTAGCAAGACTCTTCTTAACTAGGAGCTTAAAGTACCTTCTTCGAAATCATTTATTGTTTCCTATCGCTCAAGGCAGTTTCCACTAGCGTGGAATTCGAGGTATTGATCGCGCGATATCGTTTACTTGTCGCAAAAAATTTATTTAGGAACATTTGCCTACTATCGACGCCCGTGGCTTTCGAGAGAAAAAAAAAAAAGAAAACGTCACGGTTCACCGACAAAATTCACCTTCGATTTCGTTGAAGAACACAAGAGTATTCACCTAGCGCGGTGAAAAGACGACCGATCGATCCTTGTTTGCACAACACCGACGTCGAACGTTTTATGACGATTTAAGTGACGTTCGAGGGGTCGACCCTGACCAGTCTTATCTATGAACAAGAAAGTCGATGGGAGTTTTGTCGACCCTGGAGCAATGCGGGAAGTACGTTTGAATTTATTGAAATTCAAGATGGGGAACAGAGTGAAGGCGACCACACGTTGCAGTTTAATTTTGAGAGTGCATGTGTACTCAATTATGAATAGTAATGATTATCGGTCGATTGCTGTGATCAACTGATTCTCACGATTAAAACAGAAAGTTCTTTGCTTGAGGCTTGGAAATTACGTAAGATAATTTCAAATGGACAATGGGGTCTGCTACAGAGTCGCTGCTTCCACTTTCTCCCCCATCTTCAATTTTCCTAAACCTCCAATTTCCTGCTGTCGAAGTCTCCAGAAATTAAAATCCTCGTATCGCTCCAAACCAATGCATTCAAAGTAACCAAAGTATCGTCCTTATCTACGAAGATTTAAAAAAATATTCGTCCGCGTCCTTTCGTCGTCGTAAATCGTGGCTGTCGGCGTTCCTTTCCCTCGAAAGCTCGATTCGGCGATATTTTACCACCGTATAGTCCCGTTACGTAAGTCTTTATACGCGGAGGCTGTTATCACACCGTGGCTTTGCGCGTAGCTATCGAGGAAACGCGAGTCACGTATCGCTGACGTCGATTTCTTCTCAACGATAGCGTTGCCCTCGACGACGTGCTTCGATTCCACCCTATGACCGCCATTGAGAGCTCCGTTCTTGAGCCTGTTGCTGCCTATTAAAGGATAATTGGGTCCTTTTAACGAGGACGACACCTGCACCTTGTTCGCGTCTCCAGCGTTATTCCTTAAAATCAGTCGATGATCCAGGCTGCTCCCTGTTCGGCACGCCAGCACCGATTGTTCATCGACACGTGGAGGCAACGTCTGATTTAAGTAGTTTCGAATAGCCTGGCTCCTAGAGGTGGAGAGGTACGAAGCTGATAGGGATTCAGCGCTGTTAACATTGCTGCTGGTGTTCTTGTTACTGCCAGACCTGAGATCGTAGCCTATGCTGTTGTCAGAGGTTCTCGCCAAGTACTTCGTCTGAAGGCTGTTGGGACTGTCGTAGAAGAAGCTCTTCCTTCGGTCCTCCTCGCGCCAGTTGGTGTCTGATGAGCATTCTGCGGATCCACGGACCTGCTTGCAGTTCCTTCGCGTTTTTGTTCGACCCAGTTGGCTTAATTGACAGGATCTGCCTCCTGGTGCGCACTGAAATTCGGGAGGAGGGGGAGGGGGAAAGGGGTTGTTGAAATGCAAAGTTTTATTAAGTACCGTAGAACAATTGTGACGAGCTTCCAGGGGTCGAGACCCCTTTCAGAGTTTAATTTAATCGGATGATAATTAGATGAGTAGATCGATAATTTGCAGCGACTACGGAAGAAAAATATTGTCGTACCTGGGTAGTATCGGTAGGTTTGCACGCATGGCGAACAGAAAGTAAGTGCACGATCAAATATTCACGTGCAAAACTGATAAAATCAATGATGAAATGAGCCGTTCGCTGTAATAAGATTAAGCGAAAGTCGACAGTTGAGAACTAAATCAACTGTAAATAATAGGTAGAAAAGTGCGTGGGGTCGAACGAAATACCAGAAATCCTGCTGAATTCGCGGCCAACTGTCGCAAAGAATGAAAGGAACAACAGAAGGAAAGAAAAGCACGTCGGTTCCATGTGCGATAAGCGTGAATTGTGGGACGTATAAATGGTTACAGTACCTAAATGAATCCCACGCGACACGTAGCCTGCAACGATAGAATCGTCTGTTTACTCTTGCGCACAGACGATCAATTTTTTAAGCAATTATTTTCGTTACAATTTTTGTTATAATCGGTGACCCATCACGATGACCTTCACCATGGGACTAATCAAGTAACGCATTGAAGACACGATTGTGTTTCCAAAAATTCAAAAGTGCAATCGTGTTTCGATATACACAGTGCTTCCGATTAGCCGTTATTTTTTTTTTTTCTTTTTTTTTTTTAAATCGTCAAATAGTGTAAGCGTTGGCGTCGAGACGTCAAACGAAATAGGAATGGCTCGAGCCAGTTTACTTACCACCGCTTGGTCCGACTGTATGGAACGCTGAGATTTGGACAGTTGTTGCTGGTTGATGTGCAGACAGCTTTTCGTTGTACTCGGTGTGAAATTACTGGCGTTGTTGTTGATTAAATTGTACGTGTACTGGGTCGCCACGTTCTTGGCTAGAAGACGTTAGAACGATTATATGAACCGGCAGCGTTTACAACTTTAGTTTGGACAGTAACAGGAGCTGTTCTTTTTCTTTAAAATTGTTGCAAACGACGATAGTAAGTGAAAGTGTGCTCCTATCACCAAAAAATGAAGACGATGTTTATTTAAGGGGGATACTTACCAGATGGTCGAAGATTTCTGACGATGTTCTGCGTTTGCGGCTCCATAGACGTACTTATCGTCCTCGTCTTCGTAATCCTTTCACCGCTGTCGATTTGCGGCTGCCGCAACGTTTTTCTACTCTGCAGCTGGCCTCGCGCTGAAACCGTAAGTGGATCGTTTAATGCTATTATCGTTCGATCCATTAAAAAAAAATAAGGAGCTAACAATAAGTTTTATTTCTGTATTTTTTTATGTTTGGTTCTACTTGTATAAATTAAATGTACATTTGATAACAGCAGTACCCTCTAAACACGAGGGTTCGTACGCGTCGCTTTTGCCTCTCTCTTTCCGTAAATCTTGGTAAGAGTGAGCGAGATTTTTGCCAACAACCGCGTCGCCCTGGCCAATGACAGGGCTGTTGGTTTCCTTCCTGATGTGCTCCGAAAGTCGCCTGATCCTTGACTTGGACCTATCGAACATCAATTGTATGTACTATAAAGCAGTGTATTCTGAAAAGTCAGTATTTCATTCGAGTATTACTCACATAGTTTTATGCTTTCGACGCTTTTCGTCCATCATCGAATATAATTTATTTCTGTACTCGTCGACGGAGAGCTGCACATCGTCGCTGAGCAACGGCACCACGCTCGATCCTCGCTCTGGTTCGTTGCTTCTTTGATGAAAGCTGGAGAAGAAGTAAATATTAACGCGAATATTAATGGAAGTTTATTCCCCTTTCAAATTCATGAAGAACGGTTCGTCTCCAACGGATGTTTTGTTCCAATTTACGAATCTACGCCTCGGAGGTGTAGATTTTAAAATTTACCTTCCAAATATATCGTAGGTATTATTGCTCCCCTTTTAATACCACCTACATTAACCTGACATTCCTTCAGAAGGAAGGGTTATTTTAGGAATTCTGTTTCCCTTTACAAAACATATTTAACGAAATTCAGTCACATCTGGGTCAAAGGGGAGTGTGATCATAGTAAAGAAATGATTCAGGAACTTTTTACACTCTATTTGGAGCAGATCGATAAATCCGTTTGATGGATGTACGCACTCGGCCACGTAGGGGTGCTCCAGAGCCTCCACAGCCGTTAATCTATGATTGGGGTTGAAGAGTATTAGATTACTGATAAGGCCCAAGGCCTCCTTCGACACCCCAGGTAGTATATCCTTCAAAGAACGCCTTGGTCCACTCGGTGTCTTCTCCAATAGATTAGTTCCGTATCCAGCGCTGACCGAAATCAGATCTGAGGAAGAACATTGGTCGAAAAACGTGGAAAGTTTAACCACTATCCATTTCGTCGCAGAGTTACCTTCTTTGGTAGGTGACGGGAGTGTGGCCATTATTCTTTCGACCTGGTTTATCGTCGAGGAACCGGGAAACAATGGTTTTCCAAGTAGCATCTCCCCGAGGATGCATCCCAACGACCACATATCTATGCCCTTCGTGTACCTGAACAACGTTGGCACACAGAGGTTCATTAAAAGACAGAGCCAAAGATCTTATGCTTGCATTAACCTAAATGTGCTCCAACGATTATCCTTCCACAAGATAGATGCAAGATAATTCCACATGGGAAAGAATGTTTATTAGGATGGCCAAAAAGTTCGTTTGGATTTTAACACGCAAATAGCGATTTTTCTTAACAGTTCTGAGCTATAAAACCTACAGTCTAAAGTCGAGAGAGAGAGAGAGAGACTTTCAAGTGTACCTCTTTGAAGCAACGAGTATTTCTGGGGCGCGATACCAGCGAGTGGCGACGTAATCCGTGAGGGTAGGATCGCTGGCAGTTTCGCCATCGCCCTCGCCGATCTGGGTAACCGATCTCGCCAGTCCGAAGTCGGCGATTTTACAATGACATTTGGCGTTCAGTAGAACGTTCGACGGCTGTAACAAACATTACAACAGTCGGTTTGATGCTGCAAGGCAGTGTATTCAATCTCGATTCGGGACGATAAGATAGCACAAGGTTCAATTGACAACGCTTCAAAAAGAAGGACGAACAAACCTCTTCGAAAAAATGAAAAATCTCCAAAACCATCGAGTCTGTATAGTCAAAGCAGGATGGATCGACTAACCTTGAGGTCCCTGTGTATCACGTTCCCCGAGTGAATGTATTTGATCGCCTTAAACAGCTGATACATAATGTAGACTTTATGGATGTCCTGCAGGATGTTGCCCTTCTTAATGACGTTGTGGAGATCGGTTTCTGGGAAAACGGGCCGAAACGTGTTTCAGCCCAAAATGTCTGAGAATCGCCGCGGCACGTGACCTTTTTGTGAATCCTTCTTCGGACCGGATAAAACTCACCCATGTACTCGAACACGAGATAAATGTCCCGGTCGTTGTTCGCCTTGTGAAGACCTAGCAGTCGTACGATGTTCTCGTGATTGGCGAATGATTGCAGGAACATTATCTCACGGAACGTGCGCTGCGCGTCGGTCTGGTTCCGGAAAGCGTCGAATATCTTCTTCACCGCCACCGTTTCCCGGTTTTTCTTATCTATCGCCTTCCATACGATCCCGTACGCCTGTCGAACGACGGGATACGTGGTCTCAGGATTTGCGACAGTGTGAACAATAAATAAATGAATTGAAATTTGTACTCGACGCAATAAAAATGTTAGACAAAATGTTTATCTCGATTTCCTCAAAGAAACATTACGCTGTAGTGCGGACAAATTAATTCCTGAAGAGCCATTCAGCTTTCAATGAGAAAACTTCCGTAAGATAGGAGAAGATAGGGTACAAGTGGTTATTACGCTACATCACATAGATAACAAACGAGTGGTTATTACACAATATCTTGAAACAACTCTATATGCCCTGAAGATTTAGATTATAGATTAGAACAGTGATTTCCTAGCTTTTTACTATCACGACGCACTTAGGAGAGACTAACATTTACAAGGACGCTTTTAAAAATCCTGGATATCGTACTAATATTACGCAGAACAACATTAATATTCCAGATATAAACAAATTTTTCTTCGACCTTTTTAATCCTCTACCGTAATTATTCCCCTCACAATCACCGTAAAATTGAATTATACAAATAATTGTGTTATTATATTTCATGAAGCTCATTTGCAGGCACAAATTTGTTTCCGTTAATTGTTCTCGTAAATTTTTCATGCGTTCGTTCCCCGTTGTATACGTCAACGATAAATACGGTTTTATTGGAATTAAAATTTCAGCCACATAACGAAAATTGGCGTTCGATGCTATATACCGAATATTTTGAAAACAATTTTACTGGAATATTTAACGAAACAAAGATTTATTCGGAATCATCGATGCCCAGCTATAGTTCTTAGCAGTGTGCACAAGTGCACAAACACGTGGCGAATAAATTAATAGATTTTTAAATATTTAGCTATCTATAGCCTAGTTCGAAAACTGGGAACCATTGTCGTCGACAGTTGTTTGTTACTACTCTCCCGTTGCTCGTTGTCATGATTATCACTGTTAATAGCTCAACTATCGATTTAGATACTTGCCAACGATGTAGCTACCACGACAACTGTTATTGACAATTGCGTACATTTGTCTCTTTTCTAGGATGTTCGCTCTGTCCTATAAATACCATTATCGCCATGCATATGCCAAGAAATGTTTTCTTAATATACAATAAAAATAACACCCGTGTTATAAAAAGAGTGTTGTAAAAATAACACTTGCAAAAACAAACTAGAAAACAATTCTTTTTTTATTGGAAACTGATAGCACCCTCGGTCACATTCTATTTATTTTTATTATCAAATATAGCAGCGTTTTATTCTCCAATTTACAGGACCGTCGACGTATACTATTACTGAATCTATCAATCTACGTGACGAACAATGACACTCTTGTGTTGACTTAATTCTTCTACATTTTAATTAACTTTACAATATAAATCTACCCCAGAAGTATCGTTGCTGCAACTGTCTACATTTCTTCTGTTTTATATTCAAGCCCATGTGAAAATGAATGACGAAGCCATACGAACAAAATTTTATATACTTGAAGACTTAATCAAGACTAAATTACCCTCTTTTAAAAGCATAATCAAGTGCTTAATTAAACAATACCTCAAAAAAAAACAATTCGAGAAGAACAACCTGCACATAAAACCCAGCAAAGAAGAATAAGTAAAACTATTTCAAACTACCATAAACTAACTGCTATATTCCGAGTGTGTAATTCTAAACCAATCTTGAAATGCACTCCTATTAATCCCTAAAAATTCTTGAGGACCAACAGACCGGTGAATATCAATGAAAAATAAAAATAATTACCCCCTTTCCGAGTCGTCGAACGATGTCATAATTTCTGGTGACGTGCGTGTCGAGCTCGAGGACCTTTTCGTTGGTGTTTTTCCCAGACATCGTGACGAGACCTTGAGCACAGTCGAGCTTCACGAATCGGAAGCTTACGGTGACCCGCGCGATTGAAGACGTACGAAAATTTTCAGACGGAGACGGTGTTCACGGACGGCAACTCATTCACATCTTTGCACATCAGGAAGGAAGCTCCACTCGAACAGTTTTTTCATTCACCCTTTGACACATCAATGTGGCTATGTTTGTAGAATTCATAGCAATCACCATGACGACAATGGTCAATGCTACTCACGGTTACCAACGACATTGCGTGACCGCCTAACCACGGTAAGACCCTATTACCGAGTTGGACAGTGATCGTTTCGTGATTACTTTTCTCACAGGCGCCCGCAATTTGCAGATTAAACGGTAATGAAATTAGAGTAGAGATCTCGAATAAAAATGAATTGATAATCGTAAAATATTTTAAGGATGAGAAGATAGCTTGGAACCACTGAAATACAGCTGTTTCCGGTTGCCAACGGAAGGGGGACTCGAGCACCTGGTACCCCCTATCCTTTTAAATCCATAACTGATTGTAATTCACTTAACGTGAACGACTATGTACAGTGTACCACGTTTACTCATCAATAGTATACGTATACAGTATAAGTATACTGCTACATGTCTGAAATTAGAGAGGGAAGGGACAAATTAATTTATCGATATAATTAGCCTTAATCGTATTTTAATAGTTGTCATTGTCAAAAATGGTAGCCAAAGCAAATAACGAGACAACCGCAAGAAAGAAAGGAATTGATGGAAGCAGTTCGTTGTTTACGTATAAGAACATATTTTTCATTTTCATCATCAAGTCTGATACAAACTGTGGCCAATACTACGAATCTCGTTCGACATTTACACGCTTGACGGCTACGTTCGTAAAAGAATACAGTAGTTTGTTATTTGTAACGTTAAAACAATTCTCAACATGCGTGGATCGTCAAGATTCCTACGATATCTAAGGTCGGCTATGTGCGAGTAACAAATAAACTTGAAAACAAAACGTACTATGAACAATATTTTCATTTCCTCGAGTGCTATATCTTGAAATGCATCCTGGTCCCGAAGACGGTTACATATACTCTACGGAATATAGCACGACTAATAAAAGTGCATTAATTACAAAATAGAGATGAGCGTATCAACGGTTATCTAATAATTAGCTTCTGTGCGGAGGATACTCCGAGAGCTCGGAGCAAGTCTGTCGCTCAAATGCCGTAAGGAACCCCGCAAGGCTGCATTAAAAATAAATTGTATTCTCTCTTAATAACAGTAATAAACTCTCGCGAGATACTTTGTTTCGCGTTATATGGAACCACAGCTCCTTGGGGAACAGATTGTACATAATCCTGGAAAAATGTTAACACTTCTGTATCCCCATAGAAATCCTTAAGTACTTTTTTTGTGTTTTGTTTCTTTTAAATTTAATGTTAGAATATATGGGCTCCTGCTTTTTCAAGCAGCCCGCTTTGACAGTCAATCCACGTATCGTTCACTTCCTGGGTTGCTGTATAACAATGGGACGAGAACAATGCATGGGACGAGCATCATGGGTTGGTTTAGGTTTTTCATGGAAGACTTGGACAGCTTCTGGAGGAAAATCTGCATTTCCCTTGGCGGGAAATCCACTGATCATGATAGTCTTCGGTGGGCTGAAACAAAATTAAAATTTTGACAATTATTTAAAACTATCATTTTTAAAGAGTAATATTCTCCCTAAATACGTTGTTCTTGTTGAAATACAGTGGTTTCATTTCATAAAAGATCAATGTATTTACAACCATATTGCACCATGTTACGTGCGTAATACGGTTAATGACGTTTATCAAAAATATGGCAGATATCGCGAACGAGGCTATACGAATTTTTGGCCATAAACAATTGCTATCTAATCATGTTTTGCTTCTTTATCGAACGATCGAACGTCTAACACGTCCTTTTGCGCAATGATAGTTGTTTCTTTAAGATCGGATACAGAGTTCTCCTTATGGTGAACTTGAAGATTGCTTACCTACTCGACGGTTTACTTTCATCCGCATCCTTGATCGTCTTTATTTCCCGATCTTCTTTCGGTGATTTATGCTGGGTAATCCTCATACCTCCAGCTTTTACTGAACAGAAAAACAATAAACTAATAATTTCATCGCGAAACGGTTAAATTATCGGATGGCCTTGAAATTGTCCAGACAGGTGCACAACGACGTCACTCGACGGACCGTGTAAACACGTTAATCTTTTCAATTGGTTTCAAAGGATATTATTGTATTTGTTTTATTTACCCGCGGGAGGGTGGCCACCCTTGAGTTTGGAATCCTCTGGACTCGACATTTATGCGTCAAATGGCAGACAAAAACAAGATTACTTGGCTCCAGCGAATATACGTTTTGCTTGTTGCGCTACGACACCAATCACACTGATTCGATGGCGGCCGGCGATGCAATAGTGAGCAATGGCAGGCAATAGCAGTGGGGAGGTCGTCTTCGAGGCATGCATGTCTGGCTGCATGTTCCTTTCCCCCGTATCTTTGTATTGTATTTTCATTACATCCGTGTGAAACGCTGAGTCAAATGCTTATCTGCGCTTATCCCCCCCAGGAGGCATTTTACAGTTCGTGCTGTTTGAAGAGATCCATGATACAAAACACGACCCCTTCTCTTTCTCGACGTGCATTTCTACTTGTTGCGCGTCTAAAACGCTAGATGGGGATACTCTAAAGCTTTGAAATACAGACAAATGACATTATTATACGGTTAATCGTATCTATAGTTATTTACAAACTGTCTGAAAAATGTAAGAGGAAATTACTGTTAATGATTGCATAACTGATTCAAATTTCGCGCGGATTCTACGGTCATCCTGTTCGCTATCTAGCGGTAAACAGAACGAACTAATTTTCGGAGTTTAGTCAGCGCCTCTATCGGGAAAACGCTCAAGTTCGTCCTCCATTAGTTCTTATTTTCACTGTTAGATGGCGTTATTTTCAAGGTATTTACCGACACCTGTCGGTAAGTTACATCATGTCGGTAAAAAAACAGTATAAATGGCGCCATCTAGCGATGGCAACTGGAACTATTCGAGGACAAACTTGCGCGTTTTCCCGATAGAGGCGCTGACCAAACTCCTAAAATTAGTTCAACCTTTTCACCGGTAGATGGCTATACACCATTTGGACATTTTTTTATATCATTTTTATTAAATAACGTAGCAATCTAAAAAAATACATGCACGTGTGAATTATTACTGTCTGTAAAAGTACCGTACTCTGTTGTTTAGCCTCTGAAAAATTACTCTGAATGCAATTTTGTCGATGCACATCTCTGCACAGTAGTTGAGTGGAAAGTGGTGGAAAGCTGTAGACGTGAAATGGCGGCGCCGCGTTACGTTCATGAAACACTGTTTTTGAACGATAATTTACGAAATATCTTAAATAGTGTATAAAAATCGAGTAGATAAATCAGTTTCAACATGTCTGCTCAAGAGCTTTCTACAGTTATTCAACCATCAGCGACCGAGGGAGAAGAGAATAATGCACCCTCGTCCCAGCCGATTGTGGGCATTATTTACCCTCCACCGGAGGTTAGAAGTATCCTTTGACTATTTGACTCGTCTTATAGATAAAGTACAATCTTTAGATCCGTTCGGCACATTCGTAACAATTGTAATAGCAACGCCAATTGTTACATTAATACGTATAATGAATACGTAATACATCGATATGGAGTCAAGCATTCGTGTGTTTTTCTTTATGTAAAAATTTAGATATTGTCGACAAAACCGCCAGTTTCGTGGCTAGAAATGGACCAGAATTTGAATCAAGGATCAGACAGAATGAACTTGGAAATCCAAAGTTTAATTTCTTAAACTTTGGTGATCCATACCATGCGTATTATCAGCACAAAGTAAAAGAATTTAAAGAAGGGAAAGGTCAAGAACCATCCGTAGGAGCAGGACTGGGAAAAACAGTTAATCTTATAGCTCATCAAAAGCAACAAGAAATTTTGAAACAAGTAGAGCAACTATTTATTCCGAAAGATCCACCTGCTGAGTTTGAGTTCATTGCAGACCCACCTTCCATTTCAGCTTTGGACCTGTATGTGCAAATTAATTCTTTCTTTACAATGTAATTATGCAATGTACATGCTATATTTCAAATGCAATAATATTTTTATTTTAGGGACATTGTAAAGCTGACAGCACAATTTGTGGCACGTAATGGTCGTCAATTCCTAACAAATTTGATGAATAGAGAACAGCGTAACTTTCAGTTTGATTTCTTACGCCCTCAGCATTCCTTGTTTCAGTATTTCACAAAACTCTTGGAACAGTATACAAAGGTGAAGCCAAATTCATTTACCTACAATCTCAAATTATTTTCTAATTACACATTTAAATAATCTTGGATTTACAGGTATTAATTCCGCCTAAGGACCTGTTGCCGCGTCTTCGCGATGAAGCAGCCAATATGGATAAAATTTTGGAGCAAGTTAAATATCGCGCAGAGTGGTTAAAGTATCAAGAAGCTCAAAGACGTAAAGAAGAAGAAGAATTGGAACGTGAAAGGGTTGCTTACGCGCAAATTGACTGGCATGATTTCGTCGTTGTAGAGACCGTGGATTATCAGCAATTCGAAGTTGGTAATTTCCCCGCGCCTACAACTCCTGACGAAGTCGGCGCTCGGGTGCTCATGCAGGAAAGGATAGAAGAAGGTGAAGATGTCGAAATGCAAATCGACAGCGACGGAGAGGATGACATGCAGAATCGTACAGAAGGCGAGAAGGATCGCGCAAAGGACAATAATCAAGTGCAAGATATGGAGGAAGATTCGAGCGACGAGGATGACGTGTCACCTCCGGGTGACACGCATAAGAAAGATTCAAAGCCGCGCGATAGCAATAGCATGCAGCCTCCGCCATTACCACCTACTCCAGGAAATGTCGTAGTGAAGAAAGGCTACGATCCTAAGCAACATGGAAACAAAACTGTACGTCCTGTTGCTCCTGACGAATACTTGATATCTCCGATCACGGGAGAGCGTATACCCGCTAGTAAAGTTCAAGAACACATGCGAATTGGGTTGTTGGATCCACGTTGGGTGGAACAAAGGGATAAGCATCTCGATAAGTTAGCGCAAGAGACAGTATTTGCACCTGGTACAGCGATCGAGGCTAGTTTGAAACAACTAGCTGAAAGACGTACCGATATCTTCGGTGTCGGCGACGAGGAAACCGCTATCGGTAAGAAGATCGGAGAAGAGGACAAGAAGAAGGACGACAAGGTTACCTGGGACGGACACACATCGAGCGTCGAAGCGGCGACCAGGGCTGCTAGAGCGAATATTACTCTGGAGGAACAGATTCATCAGATACATAAAGTTAAGGGACTTCTTCCGGATGAAGAGAAAGAAAAGATTGGACCGAAACCTGCCAATCGCGCGGCAGAATTGTCACACATGGCTGCAGCCGCTTCGAAACCTCAAGCGACGTTGAAAGCACCACCTAAGCCGCCAGCTCCGAAACCAGTGCCGGTTCCAACGCAACCACCACCACCGCCAACTATGAGTATGCCCGCTATGGGTATTCCTCAGCCAATGATGCCACAACCACCAATGATGATGATGGCTCCTATGCCTCCTATTCGACCACCGCCGCTTATGAGTAAGTAATATTGTACGTTTGGCCTCTTGAGATTTCATCCGTTATCTTTTATTTTTACTTTGTTTTAAGCGCCAGCAATGTCACCGTTTATGCCAACTCCGCCACCTATGCAACCACCTATGGCATCTGTAAGTAGTTACAATGTAAGGTGACATTTGATTATTATATACCTAATCAATTACTCTCCACTGCTACTCAAAAATTGAGATAATTTTCTACTTGCCAGATGGGATTAAAGCATCCATCTGAACCTATGGAAGAGGAACCTCAGACTAAGAAGTTACGAACAGAAGATTCATTAGTACCTGAACAACAGTTCTTGGCTAGGAATAAGGGTCCTGTTCAATTGAATATTGCCGTGCCAATGATGACAGAGAAAGCGGAATGGAAGTTGAACGGACAGACATTAAATATCACCTTGCAAGTGAGCGACTCTGTAGCGACCATGAAGGCTCTCATACATGAACAAACTGGCATGCCGCCTGGTAAACAGAAGTTACAGTACGAGGTAGGAGACAAATTATATATGCTTTAAAATTTTCATTTGTCGTCTCGTATGTTATGATAAATAAATATTCTTTTATTTTTAGGGAATGTTTTTTAAAGACAGCAATTCTCTGGCATATTATAATTTGACATCTGGTAACGTAATCAACCTCCTACCAAAGGAAAGAGGCGGCCGGAAGAAGTAAAGATTATGTTAATATGCCTTATATACTGCGGAATTTAAGAGATAATTATTAATCAATGCAACAATCAATTGAAATAAATAAAAGGTACCTTTAATTAAATTAAATTTTATTTTTCCCTATAATTCCCTATAATTTTTCATTGATTTTATGTAGCAATAAATAAAGATTTAATAAATTAAACTATAATAAAATTTGTAAATATACACAAAATTAGTTGGCATTTAAAAAATTGCACTTAATTTTACCTTGTAGTTTTATCGGTAAAGCATTAGCGATTTGTATTTAGCCATATTATGCGGTGAAACATTCGTTGGCTACATATTTAAAGTACAATATTTATTTTTAATCGTTTCTTATCGTAAGAGATTCACGACGATGTTCTTCGTCATTGCTTCGAACATTTTTCATCTGTATATTAAAGTTAATTGAAATTTTAATATTTCAATTTTAAAGGTAGACTTCCAAAAATTGTTTAAAAAATATCATATAAAAAATCTATCACGCAGTTGCAGAAATGCTTTCCTATCGTCTATTACTACATATATGCAATATGAAGGCCCCTTCGTTTAACCAGTTTTGTGTGATATACATATAAGCTTTACGCGTTTCAGTTTATACTTTGCTATTTTTTAATTTGGTCCACGATCTTCCGATAACGCGTAACCATCGACTTGTATATCTAAAAGAAAACAGAAGAAACGAGTCGTTTAATACATAGAAAAAAATATTATTCGCACAAGTCTCGTTTACTCAAACTTACGGAATCTGCATCATCGTAAGGACGGCATACGAGCGTTGGTTCAGGCAAGCAGCGTGTTATTTCATCGAAGCTACTCTCATTTCGTAATAAGGCGTGCTTTGCTTGGTAGGCTGCACCTAGCATAGCCGAATTGGCTATATCCTGTTACATGCAATTATAAAGTCGCTAGAATTACATGTAATTATAAAATCGAAGTAGACAATGTTATTACGAAAGTATTACCGATGTATACACTGGTGAATTGAAAACGTCTGAAATTACTTGTAGTATAGCCTTATTTGTAGATGCACCACCCGTTGCAATAATGCGCGTGTTTGGACCTACAAATGACCATTAAAAAAGTTTCAGCGTGCGGCTACACACGTAGTAGCGCCACAACTAATCGTTTTGCTCACCAATAACGAAACCAAAATCCTCGGCATGGGCTCTTTTCGCAACGAATTGACCCTCGATTAGAGCCCTTACTTCTACCTCCTTCGAACTGTACCGAGATATCTCGTCGTTGGCTTTATTAAATCTATGGTCACCGCTGACGAATGGTAAAATTTCTTGTGCGTCGAAGTATAAACCTAAATTCCCAAAATTACCACGCGGTGTACTCTCCAACAGTTCGTTAAAAATCTGCCAAGACCCTTGAGCTGCACTATCGCGTATTCTTTCACGGGTCCGAGATCCATTTTTGAAACTATAAGTTTGCAACTGTTAATTACTTGCCTTTTGGATTACTCACCTGTTTGTTAATACAGGAGAACTGCAAAGTATTAATAAAAATGATTACCAGAGCAGTGCCATATAAGCATTATCGTCGAGGGGATTGCAAAAGACGTGACCTTCCAAGACAGTTTTGGGATTGTTCAACCACAAAAACAAAGTATCGCTTGTACCTAAACTGCAGGCGATATCTCCTTCCTTCAATCTCATACCTGTGCGTTATAAAGCAAACGATAAAAAATTGATTCAGATTATAAGACTGGTCGAACCGTCTAGTGTATGGTTACCTATCAGAGAACCAGGATTGTCCCCCGTGAAAGCAATTATTCTGCATGATTCGTCGAAATTGAATCTTTCTACGAAATAGGATGAAATTGGCCCAATGTCGCTATACGAGGAAACAGGTTTGCCTAGTTTCTCTCTTAGATTCGAGCTGCAAGCCTGGCCAAATAGCGATCCGCGGTTAAGTAAGCAAAGAAAAAAAAAATGATAATATTAATAATACACGACCGATGTTTGAGAACATTTTACCTCCAGCAAAACGTCGTCCCAGTCTTTGGTATGAATATTTAACAAATTCATTCCAGATCCATCTGAGTAATCGATGGGCGCAAAGTCGCCCACAAACAGGGAAGCAAGAAAACTGCTAATTACAGAGATTCTCTGGAAATGATATAAAAGCGTATTAAGAAAAGCTACGCGACGAAGCATGCACTCGGCTGTAAACGTATAGTAGCAATCTAGGATGCGTGTTAGTGATGAAAATGCAGTCACATGCCCGCTTAGAATATTATTAGGCGTTAGAAGAACGCATGCGGTCGTCATATAACCGAGTCATAAATGAAATTATTTATCATTTCCAGAATACAACAAGTAATGTAGTGTCCTTAATAAATAACTAAAATCTACCTTATCTCCTACCCTTTCACCCTCGAATAATGAAAAAACACAAACGAGACGTTCTCATTCCACGAATTAATTCCAGCCGCTGCATTGCGTTAATATAATAATCATCGGCAAAAGCCACACAATGTTCATACATCTCAACCAACAGATCTACACGTATCGAATACCTCGAGCGATTGTCGTTCTCTTTTTATTGTCAATGAAGCCGGGAGTGTTTTAGTAGGTATACCTCAGTGTTATTGTAAGCCTCGGGCTTCCTGCGCGCTATCCTCGCTATCTGAGGTCCTGAGAATCTTTCGTAGGCCCGAGATCCCGTTATCTCCGCTAATTTCTGCAACCATGCCCCGACAAAATAATCGGTTAGCGTGTCAATTAATTATGAATCAGCGTCTCGCAATTTTCGCAGCCCAATATTCTCGCTACGCAATCGTATACAATAGTGACGTAGTTTTCGCTTCCTTGGGCATCGATTGCGAGCAATCGTCGATCGTCGGCAATAAAATCAATGAAATATTCGATTAAACGTGTAAAGGTCAGATGTGTAAGTGTCCACGACGCGACGCCCGTTCAACGAAACTAACGAGTCTAAAAATACCGTGTGGCCAACGAAACGGTACTCTTTTACCTTTTTCTTGGGTTACCATTCCAGCCGTCAACGGGCGTTAAGATATCTTTCGTCTCGACGCGATCAAGGATAACTTAGATATATTCCCTGTCGTTTTCGGTACACGCTGAGTATATTTTGTTGCTTAGTCTATTTTTTTTTTCTTTTCTTTTTTTTTTATGTTATTAAGTCAAGTATTATATAGGGTGTGTCTATTCACGACACAAGAATGATAACAAAAGTTCAGAGATATTATAGACACGCGTTCTATTTGACCTTGTTCGTGAGTTGCAATCATTTTGGTGTCCCCAGAAATTGTTTAGCTTCGTAGGAAATGCTCGAAATAGAAACATGCGAACGTTTTACCATAGTACTCGATCTTCCAATATTCCTCCAGCAACTCGTGCAATTGATTACTCAATAAATTGAGATAAAATTGACCCGTTAACCTCCTATTAAGGAAAAGAGAGTGTTATCGATGATTGTATACAAACAGTTTAGTAGAATCAGTTAAGTTCGCTAGCTCAGTTCGCGATTAAGAATTGTCGCCGCACAAAAATGGCCATAACTGGGGAACAAGATCGAACTGAGGAAATGTTTATATGAACTTTTGTCACTGTTTTTGTGTCCTCAATCGTTCGCCGAAGTGGCTCTTCCGTGCGTTCTTATTTTCTCCTTACTTTATATTATTTTATTGCGCTCTTATCTTTACATCTACACGTTAATTTTCATTATTCTTTTTCTCCTTTTCTTTCACATTCAATATTTTCTTCCGTTCAGTACTTGCATTTCTTAGGGGTTCACGAGGAATACTCACTTGAGGACCACCCACGATCTCTTCTAAAATATGACATTCCTTGGTCGTGCTGGAATCCATCCACACGGGAGACGGAGTCACCGAAAACGACGTGACCAACTGCTCGTGCAAGAATTTCGTGGGATTCAATTGTTGCAAGTGATTTCGACTGCCCTTGCCCCAGTAAACTGTGCCATGTTGCTGTGCAATTACGAACAGAGATAATATTATCGTCGCATTTCGTTTAGAGCACTTTGGGAAACATCTCTAATGCCACGAGGTCTACATATACAGCTCGGAAGTACGAACATCGAAAAGATTTTTAAATACTTCTGTTCTACAGGTTCAATGTAAAAATACTCTTTACCTGTGCGCACCCGGAAATGGCGGCTACCTTGCTAAAATCGACACCACAGACGCGTAATTTATCAAGGATGATGTCCAAGGCCTTCACCCACATCAAGGTGGGAGCTACCGCCACGCGTGGTTCGTCTTTCTTTTGAATGACCCCTCCATAAGTTCTAAAAATGGTTGTCGAAGGTGTATTTTTCTTTGCTCCGTTGGATATACGAGAGAATATGCACAGTGGAGCAATAATAATATTCATTGCATGGGTAACGAAGGTCTAATTCTGTATCGATGCATATGTAATTAAAATTCGTGGCGAAACGCCCCTTTGAAGACTCGTTTGTATCTAATGTAAGAGAATAGTGATAACTATACCTAAACTCCGGCAGATCATTGTCAAATTGCACGCTGGTTTCGCAGAGAACGTTGAGATCATTATCAACGACCACCGCTTTCAGCTACAACGTTGAAAAATATTCGTTAATCGCTTGTTTCGCCTAATTAAATTCATATTACACACCGCGGGACGATTTATCGTCTACGAATCGTATAAATTGCATGCAACGTGACCGCTCGTGAAACTTCATCCGCTCGTATCGGTCAATTAGTTACGCTACCCGACGTGTATTTCAAATTTAATTCGGAATTTTGTATTCAAAACGCTATTTTCGTGGCCCGATCGAATGAATATGCAAACAACTGTCCCGGCGATGGTAAACATGCAGTTCTACACGTGCCGCTTAATATGCAGCCGTTTACATGTGATGGAATAAGAAGCGTGATATATTTCGACGTTCCTAATTGCCGTTATGCAAAACCGTTGTTCGCTTTTAACGGGAGAATTACGCCCGACTCGATGGAATTAACGACCGGATAAAACTCGTGTTCGATGGGAATCGATTAACCCAGTGATTTCCAAACTATTTCGAAATCACTGGATTGGCCCGAAAACCGTTTCGGACGATTATTTATTCCAGAAACTAAAAAGTGTTTCGTAGAACCCAAAGAAAGTCTCGAAAACAGAGACCAAAGCACCGTATTATTTATTTATTAATACCATGAATAAAAATTATTTTTAGATTATTAATGATTTATTACAGCCCCCTCGTACGGTTGCATAGAATCTCTGAGCTTGTCCCGGGGAGTCTGTATAAAATTTCTATTTGCTCGATTATCTCCTTTAGTTATTTAAGAAGCATTTTGCAATTTCAATTATCTCTTTTCAACCGCCTCTGACATTCCGCATTTTTTCTCGCCAAACAGATACACTCTTCGCTCGCGTGTATCGTTTCGTCGCTTGGTGTTATCAACGCATTAGATAATTGTGACCCGGCGCGCGAACGTCACACGCTTCGATACACTTGTTTCGGTCAACGAAGATGCGCTTACAACGAACGTATGCAAATACACCTAATCGTCGATTTATCTTCAGCAATCGTAATTAAAATTATGAAACGTAATTTTCAAGGTATCAAACCTACTTTCCATACGATACTCTATATATTTAACAATAAGCTCCCCATATCACATATGTAAATCATAAAACATTTGTAAGTTCAAACCTAGAACGAAGAACAAAATCAATCTACGTATAATCTACAGACTATCTCGAAATACGCATTTAAAATTTTCCGCGGCGCTGCACAGATGGCATTACCAATCAATTCCACAAAGATGGACGCAACAGCGTCCCTCTGGTCACGTCGCAACGTTTCGCACTGCTCATGCATCGTCCTTTAGATCCATGCTCGACGATAAGCATTTCTGTTCGACGAGAAAGCGTGCTCACGTCAAGGATTAATCGTCCCACAGAGACGTGCGACGCCTGGCGATAAAGCTGTCGAGAAGTTAGGAGACAGTACAACTTACCTGCTGCGTGCTGAGATCGAGCCCTAAGTATGTCGCGTTCGAAGTTGTACCCATATTTAGATCGTTTACCGACGCACAAATGCGACGAAACAAAGAATGGATACGTTGTCAGTGAAAACAGTGAAACGGACGGATACGAACAACGTAAGCACTTCACTACGCGACCATGAGTCGCTTTGATAGTCTAGAAGGCACGACCCAAGTCATCGTTACGCGCTGTTTCGCGTTCATTGCGACGTAACTTGGCCAAACGGGACTAATCTTATCGTTGTTATTAATATTGTCGCTATTTGTTACGTAAGAATTAACGAACGGCGAAACTTGCTCCAGCGTTACTTGTTTTTCACATGTACATGTTACTTCGATATCAAGCGCTGTAGTTTCTCGACGAAGAGGTTAAGTTTCCGTCGATACTGCTCCCTGTGCAGCTGACAGAATCGCAACTAGAATTTTGGCGCAGTTGACAAATTCTCAATATGGCGCCATATTCCGCATATGTTCCTGTACTTGGCAAAATAAATATCGTGATAAAGTAATTACTTTCTCGTGTTTATACGAGGTTATCATTTATTTAAATATATATTGTTATGTGGCTTTACTATATACATATATAAACATGAGAAAGTAATTGCATTACTTAACAGTAATTTTATGTATCTGAATAGGAAAGCTAGACATAAATCACATAGTTACTCCCGCTAAAGCTTAATTCTTGTTGCAATAGCATTGAACGTTTCAGTGTTGAAAGTAAACACTGCTGATTATGAGATTACATATTATTTATGGTAGGTTATATCAACCAGAAATTCAATTGAACATTATTTACAATGGACTCGAGTATTCTTCGTTACTTGGACTTACGGAGCACCTGGGACTACCATTCTCAAGTCTTTTACAGGGAAATTGTTTAGTGTTCAAATCGCATCGTTTTCAGTAGAAAATTTTGATTTTCTGTAAACATGATCAAATTATAACTGAGTACGAACCCTGTCTTCAAACGTGTCAAAGTAATGGATTAAAACAAGTAGAAAGGATGGCTAGCTCACCACTCTAGGTGCTTGCTTCATTGCCTATGCCTCTGGAAGGGATCATCGAATTTCTTTACCGACGGATCTATCGCGTAGGTGTTGTTGACGTTACCTGCTCTACACCTGCATCAGGTTGGATTCTTGTCTAAGGAACAACTCGTTGGATGTTAACGCGATCTAGCGACTGTTACCTGCGTTCACCTCGTAGAATGCAACGTGTCCTTCTAAACATCTTTTGAGAATAAACGTATAGCCCAGCACCTGTAAATATTATTTACAATTTTGGATAATTTAGTAGATACTAAAAAAAAATTCTAGAACTCTGTAGAAATTGGTATTGAACGTTTTTAGATTAACTAGCCTTGGGATCCATTCCCTAAATGGTATCCCCGTCAGTGTTCTCCAGTGAGGGGTCGAGGGCAGGCTTTCTCGGTAATTATATTCCCAGGCTCTCGTCGCAGAGTCAGAAATCATTGGACGGCTTCGTGGCTAGGGCCGCTGCGTCGCGAAGGAGAGATTGAAAGAAAAGCTCTGCCAAACGACGAGCCGGAGCCGAGCCAGCGAAAGTTTCGCTCGATTGGCCGTGTCGGTTGGTCCTTCTCGCCGAAGAAGAGCCCTGGCGTCCGAAACTGCTCCGTCCCGACGCCGACGCCGCTGCTGGCGGCTCCTATGCGTCCGTTCCCTCTGATCTCCTTCCTCATCTTCCCCTCGTCGGCGCACCAGTCTCGGCCCATCCTGGCGTCCCTTAACTCAAACCATTATCCGTGTACCACGATTATAGGGCAACGGGACCGACAAACAGGCTTGGGCCAGACCCCCTGGCACCCTCTTCGTAACCACACCCTCCTCCTCTTCCTCTCTCCTCATCGTTGGCCACCCCATGCCATGCTCACCATCGCCGGCTACGCAAACAAACCCGTGCATCGGCTAACATAACTTAACAATCTTCCTCTCGCTCCCTTTTCCCCCGTCATACTTTTACCTCCCTCCTCCAACCGCTGCCACGCAGTTCCTACAACTGATTGCACCGTGATGCACCGGTCCGCCACCCAGTATCGGCCAGCATTGCTGCACGCTAGCCTTCGGGCTCCTCCGTTTCGTCTTTCCCAGAAAACGACGCCATTACTGGAACGATTCCTCTCGCAAATTACGCGGGTTGTTTCGTAATTAACACATTGGCGGCGGATGACGTACGTTCGAATTTATTTTCGTGTCTCTGTCTTACGACACGATCAACGTACGATGCGTTGACCGATTAAATGACTGTTTCTTCCATATAATGCTATCGCACTTAATAAATTCTTCAATTTCATTTTTTCTCTAGCTTCGGTGAAACCCTCAATCGTCATTTACAATTGATCAGAAGTATCTTTGTCTACTCGGTATCAACTACTATCCTCATCGCTTTCTACCAATTTCAAATCCATTTGTACCACACATCGGCACCGACTACCTCAGGTACATAGCCAGCCCTCGCCACCTTCGGTATCAAATTCTCGCAAGCGTCATCGATACATATCGCACCAGTCGACTGGCCGTAACAGTGAGTTGAATGCGTGTTTAACGGGCGTGCGGCGCGTGAAGGCGCTCGAGAGACGAGTGCCAATATTTCCTTCATCGACAAACAAGAGCTGGAAACGAATAGGGGTGAATTTTTTTCAAAGAGCAGAGTTTCATTATCTAAACACATCGTCGCGTCGGTGGAATATATCGACAGGGCGGAAAAAAGGGGGGAAGCGGCGGATGGCGTCGGCGACAGCAGGCAGAGCCATGTCGTCGCCGTCGAGCGGACGACGACGAAACGACGGGCTCTGCTTTGGCGTGCAGGCGGACGACGCCGACGCCGACGTGGAAACGTGGAGTGAGAGACGGAAAGGGAGACAGAGACAGCCGGGCGCCGATTCCAGCGACCGGCCGGCGCTAACCTCGACGCCAACCGTGGAGCGTCGCCGACACCGTCGCCGCCGTTGCTCGACCGACGACACGACGAAGACGACGACGTCGTCGACGACCGCGACGTCGACCAATGCAAGAATACTTCTTCTGTTGGCATCGTGGCACCGTCACGACGGGGGTGGGAACCGTTGCTCATCGGTCGCCAAGCCGGAGGGCGCCCTGCTCTACCCCATCCCTGGGTTCCACCAATACACGTATGCTTTGGTACTGTCAGTTGAAATTCGCGATGCTAGATACGTCGATAGCTTCGTGTTTCGTATGGGAATAATTATCCAATAATTATCCAATACCATGGAATGTTATTAGACTGCGAATTTTATGCATTTATGGCGTACACTTGTACGAGAAACGTACATAAATATATGTCGTTCGTCGTATCGAAGAGTGATTATCGAATTCCAACCCTTCCGGAGTCGGTGCCAGTGCGTCTTCGCTTCTCGGACGATCCTCGTTACAAATCCAGCGTGATTGATCATAAGACGGTTTGTTCCTTGGAGAATGCCGTTCGGTTTTATGGTTGCACGGGATTCCTCCGTAATATCGGTCCAATCGGGAGAAGTGTTTTCGAAATCTATCCGCCTCGAATCGATTCCCCATCGAGCACTGAGAGCTTAGTCACCAGCGAATCGACGGTTAAAATTGAAGAGACGATGCGTTTTATGGGAACATGTTCGGATGCACGATGTTTCCCTACCTGTGTTCGATTGTATCGTTTACGAAGATGCTTGTCATAAGAAATTTGTTTAAATCAAACGGTAGGTTTGATGTTTCCAAGTGTACAACTTCTCGCATACAATTTTATATCGAACAAAATTATTTCACCTACTATATTACTTTTAAAAAACTCATAACGAAATGCCTCATTTTCAACATCTTGAACCGAGCTCTTCCCTTAAGTACGCTTTAATAATTTCTACAAACAATAATTTATTAAATCTGCTGGTGCAAGGAGGTTGAGCACCTCTGGGCGAAGCGTTGCAAACAATTCAGGGGTAGATACCCAGCGATCGGATGCCCCCGTGCCTCTGGATCTGGAACGATAACTCATTTTTTTCGGGCGGATAGAGACCGGCGGCGCCTCCGTGTATAGGAATCCTTCCCTCCCTCCCTGGGTACCCATGTTTTAACCCATGCCAGCGCCTACCCCCGCGTTTCCACGAAAAGTAGGAGCGACCATTGGGGCAGAAGATGACTACGCCGGCTCCAGCGAGGGGCGCCAAGTGTTTTGATGCTTGTTATGCGAAGGGGAGCTTGATAAACAACGAGTTGGAGAACGGAGCCGGACCATGGATCGTCACCAGCGACTTTCCCACCCACGCTTAAAACCGACATCCGACTGACTGGCTACGATTCTGTCATTACTTACGACGGAATTGATGTCTCCGTGTTATAACATCCCTTGTTCCTTTTGCTGGTGTACCGAAGAGGGAGGGACGCGCTCGTAAAATGAAATCGCTAACGCGCGTTGATTGCCTGGCAGCAAATTGAAATACATGCAAAAGTCTTAGAACCGTAGATTCGCTTCGCGTGAATCTAGGGAAAATTATGCCACCGGGGGGAAAGTTAGGGGCGTGGTGGCTCTTTCAGGTTTTACAGGGTAAAGAAATATGGATTAATATTTAGGAGAATCTAGACTGAGAACACTTGAAGTGTTTTCAAAATTCTTTGTCCACCCTGCGACAGTCTTAATACTGTGCAGCATGGAACGTTGTAACAAATGAGGAGGTATGCATCTAGCAGAAAGTGTAAATAATATCAAGAGCCGGTTGGACGTGGGATTATTAAGACTCGTTGGATAATTTATAATGTCGCATTCCAGTGTTCCGGAATTAGATACACTAATGATCCTTCCCATTCCTGTTTCACCCTATCGCTATCATTATCCGCGTTCCGTTCTTGCGTACCGCGCAAAAGGAGAACATTTAAATGCATGTGTCCGACAGAAATAGTATTTGACTTTTAACCATTCGAGCAAACACACGCTTCGTCATTACCCACTTATTCGACCAACAGTGCATATATACATGAATGTCTCGTCGAAAGTATTTACAGTTTTCTGAACGTGTTCCATGTCGCAATCACGTAGAAATTTTCTTGGCAAACAAAACGGAGAGATTTATCATAAAGTTTTACGTAAAGTAGGATCATGTGCATCAATGTACTTTTGGCAACAGGTTCTTGCACCAGCGATAATATCAAA